TTTTGAGTTTTTATTTTTATATTTTTAGTGTAGACGTAATAAGCAGGTAATTTGTAGGAAGAAAGTTTTTAATAACATATTCGATTAAACAATTAGTTTAAAAAAATATTTATTGTTGATTTAAAATATATATATATATATATATATATATATATATATATATATATATATATATAAGACCACCTGGAAAGTACACCCTTTCAAACAAAACAAAAAATTTCCAAATCGGTTCAGGCGTCTTCGAGTAATCGGTGAACATACATAAAAAAAAGATTCCTACGAATTGAGAACCTCCTCGTTTTTGGAAGTAGGTTAAAAATTATGACTGCAATATGCAAGAATAAACGTATAAGGAGTTAAGAGTCACATTGAATTAAAGTTAAGTACATAGAATTTAATGCGAGGAAGTAATATTATCTTCTACGAAAATATTCTTAATGAATATACCGACACGTACAAAGTTAAATAACAATATAGTAATATTTCTCACACTACCCTCGCAAACCGCAGTAAATTAAAACAGAGTATTCATTGTTTTTGCAATTATTGGATATCGGTTGTGTTTTCTATGTGGTTACGTGTTCATATTACAGTTATTATCAATATAGTAATTCTTATATTACCTTCTATTTCACTTTTTATGTATTACAATTTTTAATTTAGTAGTTACTTACTTTTGTACTATTATTGTTGATATCTTTTAACCTCTAAAATCTAAATGCGTCGAATTTTATAACTTACTAGCATTGCCCACGGCTCCGCCCGCGTTCAGATAACCAAAAAACAAATTCTTACGTTTTACATATTAGCTTCTACTCTTACATGGCAGTTTTTATATTTTTTCTAAGAAATGAGATATTTTCCCGCGGTGAACATATCCTATACGTTGATCCGGATAACCAGCTATCACCATACTAAATTTCATCAAAATCCCTCAAGTGGTTTTTCGTGATGCGGTAACAGACAGACAGACAGACCTATTAAATATTCATATCTTAAAATATTGTCCGCTGGCACCGACTTCGAAAATATCTGATTAGGTATCTATTCTAAATGAATACCCCCGTTTAGTTATTTTTTACATTTTAGTGCCTGGAAGTCGGTTTTTTTTGAGTTTTTATTTTTATATTTTTAGTGTAGACGTAATAAGCAGGTAATTTGTAGGAAGAAAGTTTTTAATAACATATTCGATTAAACAATTAGTTTAAAAAAATATTTATTGTTGATTTTTAAAAAAAAATATATAAGACCACCTGGAAAGTTGCACCCTTTCAAACAAAACAAAAAATTTCCAAATCGGTTCAGGCGTCTTCGAGTAATCGGTGAACATACATAAAAAAAAGATTCCTACGAATTGAGAACCTCCTCGTTTTTGGAAGTAGGTTAAAAATTATGACTGCAATATGCAAGAATAAACGTATAAGGAGTTAAGAGTCACATTGAATTAAAGTTAAGTACATAGAATTTAATGCGAGGAAGTAATATTATCTTCTACGAAAATATTCTTAATGAATATACCGACACGTACAAAGTTAAATAACAATATAGTAATATTTCTCACACTACCCTCGCAAACCGCAGTAAATTAAAACAGAGTATTCATTGTTTTTGCAATTATTGGATATCGGTTGTGTTTTCTATGTGGTTACGTGTTCATATTACAGTTATTATCAATATAGTAATTCTTATATTACCTTCTATTTCACTTTTTATGTATTACAATTTTTAATTTAGTAGTTACTTACTTTTGTACTATTATTGTTGATATCTTTTAACCTCTAAAATCTAAATGCGTCGAATTTTATAACTTACTAGCATTGCCCACGGCTCCGCCCGCGTTCAGATAACCAAAAAACAAATTCTTACGTTTTACATATTAGCTTCTACTCTTACATGGCAGTTTTTATATTTTTTCTAAGAAATGAGATATTTTCCCGCGGTGAACATATCCTATACGTTGATCCGGATAACCAGCTATCACCATACTAAATTTCATCAAAATCCCTCAAGTGGTTTTTCGTGATGCGGTAACAGACAGACAGACAAAAGTTCTAAAAACTATAGATTCGGCCTCTGTTTCGATAATAATGTCTATTTCAATAAGATTTTCAAAAAAATATTTAATGTACAGATTCGGCTTTGTTACAATTTTATTATATGTATAGATATATGAATATTCATATATTGTACACTTTCTATAAAACTACTGCTTTCAAAACCGATAATTACGTATACTACATATTAATTAGGTACATTATCTATACATACTTATATTATAAAGAAGCAGAGTTCGTTTGTTTGTTTGGACGCGCTCTTAAGAACTAATTATCCGATTTATATATACTTATCACATAATATACAGTCTATCTATTCCATATTAAGCGTTAAAACGTACCGGTTACCGGCAGGAACGAACCCGAGCGAATCGAGGGCGAGTCGCTAGTCTATACAGATAAATAAAATTGAAGTGTCTTTTGTAATGTCAAAATAACAGCTTTTTACTAAATGCATATGGATGTATACACGATACATATACCAAAAAAACATTTTTTACAATTTTTGTTTGTCTGTCTGTCTGTCTGTTTGTTCCGCCTAATGTCTGAAATGGCTGGACAGATTTTGACGGGACTTTCACTGGCAGATAGGTGATGGAATAAGGAGTAACTTAGGGTACTTTTATTTTAGAAAAAAATTAAAACCCATGAAAAATTTAATAATATCCGATTCAAATAGGGAAGTTGTATACTACTTGGGACAAACCCGAGCGAAGCGAGGGTGAGTCGCTAGTTAGTAAAACACATAATCTTTCACTAAAATCGATATACGTACGTATCTATTTTAATATATGTACAGTAGTTGTACTAGAGCAAACTAACGGACTTCAATTTCATTTGCATAGTCTACCAACAAAGGTCCCGATCGGTTTCAGTGCCTCCCTATCCTGCCTAATCTTATTTCCATCCCTTTATCTTTTAGAACATAACCTTACGGCAAATCGAGTTCCTCCTCATGTTAAGAGGCAAAATCTCTTATATTATATCAAAGTATACTTTTTGTGCTTCACAGTCATGAAGGATTAAGGTAAAATAATCTTTTATGTTTTTATGCTTTGCAAATTATTTGTGATATCATACTTATGCCATTCTTTCTCTACCGCATTATGACGTATTGATAAATTTTCACAGTATTCTGTTGTGACTATATAAGTACCTACCTACTTACTTATTACTTATTACCCATATAGATATCACAAAAAAACTTTTTAACAAAAAAATAAAAACCGACTTCGAAAAAAGCACTAAAAAGTAAAAAAGAACTGATTGGTAGTTTTTATTTACTGTATATACCTAATCAAATATTTTCGAAGTCGGAAGCAAGATTTACAAACTAAAATTCGCTTTTATTAGTAACACTAAAAATTCTGGCTCTTAAATCCGATTATAAAGTGTTAGGCTTGCCAAATCAAACGAAATAATCTCAAACTCAAAGTATCTACTATTAGGCGTTGAAGAGTTCCACCTATCCACCTTCTGGCCTTACCATCAGATCAGGTCAACAATACCGAACCACTGTACTATCAACGGAAATAGAAACACTTGCAAAGTTTCAAGTGAATATGACAATTAGAAGTAGGTTAAATTCATCATTAGCTATTTTTCCACCCTTAAGGGTGGTTTTTTTTTAAATTTAAATGGGACCAATCTGGAAATATACACTTTCAAACAAAATAAAAATTGTCCAAATCGGTTAATAAATGACGAAGTTCTGAGGTAACAAACATAAAAAAAACATACAGTCGAATTGAGAACCTCCTCCTTTTTGAGGAAGTTGGTTGAAAAAAAAAACTACGCTTAAACGTCTTTTTTTATTTTTTACGTCTTAGTGTCTATAATAGGTTGTTCTGTAAACAACGGTAGGTAATAATATAACGATTGGTTACAATATTTCTCAGTATCTCTACTCCGCACGCGCGCTCCGCTTAAATGACAGGTAGCCTAATACCCACTTATCGGGACACGGGTTAATAATAATATATAATCAACCTAAATGAAAACTCCTAAAAAAGCCGTACACAAACTAAAATAACATTACATCGTCCACGTAAACAAATATGTTCATAAAATAAAAACCACTGGGCCAAACTATGTTAAATTTTTATGGGACCAAATGGCAACTATTCAAATTAATTCTCAAATTAATTCAAACTAAAGAACAATCATACATAAATGGGATCATAAGTCTCAGCATAATCGATGTACATACATAAAAAAACAATTGAATTGAGAACCTCCTCCTTTTTGAAGTCGGTTAAAAAGCAATTAAAAGTAGGCAAATATTAATACTTTTAAGCTATCTATAGCTATAGCTATACTATCATGACACAAAAAAAGTATATTGATTATCTTTTACGCAACGTTGGGGTTTTCAATTTTATTGCTGTTAGCTTGTTGTTCACAGGCGGTGTTTTTAATATTTCTAGGTATATAACAATTTGCTTCTTTAATCTCTGCATGTGGGAATGCATGTTTTTTTAAATAATAATAAATTGACGCTTAAAAAATTCATATAGAAATATGAAATATAAATTTATTTTAAAATAATATTAGGTACCTTAATCTGTAGCTTTGTATACCTTTAGAATATATTCATACCTGTAAATCAAGCAAATCTTGCAAATCCTTACACCGCAACTAGACAAATGAGGGGTGCGAATACAAAGATCAAGGGGCGTTCTACTCCATTTGCATTTAGATGAGCGAGACAAGATATTGTTGAGCACGACAATTCGCAAGGCGGAAGGCGTACTTGTCGCCACACAATCACCCTTCACCTTCCCGACTAATTAGGGACACTAACAATCTGTTAGAAATTTTCGCCACAATGAAAAGCCCTCAGAACAGGGGACTGTTCATGATAGTATATTGTTATGCCTCTTCCATATTAAGTTAAATAAAGGCTTGGTTACTGATAAACTTTCCCAAATCTCTCACAGTGGCCAAATGCAAGAATGTAGCACATCATATGTAAACAGGTGTACAGTAGTAAATCTTTGTCATCACACGTCAGATAAAGGTATACCGTTATCTACACACTTGCAGCGAATAAACTTGGACAAGAGCCTACGCATGTATTAACAATGCAAAGGAAAGCGAATGCAACGAGGGCTGTACGCTCTCATGGAATTCTAAGACGGATTTATGTGTGTATAAAGCAGGAATGTGCGGGGGCGATTCATTCTAAAAAAACGGATAAATAATTCATTACAATAAGCAATAAAATGTTAAAACCTTTAATCGCTTCGGGAGACCGAAATAATTAAATAAAAAAGGATGCATACAATTTATAGATTTAGTTATGATAATTATCATAATTGAATCGAGTTTGTTATAACAAACTCATTCCTAATTAAATCATTTACCGAGTCTTGGTCAGAGCAGGCAGCGGACGAAGTGGTGTCCAGTCTGTCTCCACGATCCTTAAAACATGTAAAAAAAATCGAAAAATAATTAGATACTGTTCAGTATTTATGTATGTATTTATGATACAAAGCTACTAATATATAGGCAGACCTACATTGAGAAGCTCGAATCGACTGCTAGAAATGTATTGCGTAACGAAACTTCATAGAAGTGCTCTTAAGTGGAGTGCACAAGAGGTTAACGTCTAAAGTGAGATTCAAGAGCTACGCTAGTGACATATCTTTAAGTACTTCATCTTTATGGTAAAAATAAAATATTATGTTGGCATGTTTTTGTATTTGCTATATAAAAAAAAAACATTTTTAATCAATAATAAATCAATATTAATGTTATTTTGTACAAAACAAATAGTTTTGTAAAATATTTATTTCGTACAAAACAAATATTTTTGTAAAATATTCATTTTAGTTTTAACTTTTTCCTGAACTAATATGAATAAAATCTTGCTCAGTTTTATGACTCACAGCATTGTTCCAAGAAACTGCGTCTTCGCTGCCTATCGATAACCACGTGGTTTAATCTTCCGTCTTTTTGCAGCTGTTTCATTTATATGTGACTTAAAGAAAGAGATATAGAAAGATTACAATCAATTAACTTGTGACGATGTCCAAAGCTTTGATCCTAACTTTTACCGCTAAATCTTGGTTATTACTCAGCTTATGTAACTTGCTTAGGAAGTTTATATATGTGTTTACAATCATTATCATAAATAAATTATAAACATTAAATATTTATACATATCTTCGGCACTGTTTTTCTTTTCTCCGTAGGAAAGCTGATTTTAAATGGTGCTTTTTAATACGACTAACTCAAGTAAGGATCTAATTATATTTTAAACCAATATTAGTTGCAATTAAAGTGAAAGTAAGAAAACTTAGTTTATAAATCACTAGCATTGCCCGCGACTCCACCCGCGTTCAGATGACCAAAAATCAAATTCTTAGGTTTTGCATATTAGTATACTCTAACATTGAATTTTTTGTATTTTTTCTCAGAAATGAGATATTTTCCCGCGGTAAAAAGTATCCTATATGTGGACCCAGATAACCAGCTATCATCATACGAAATTTCATCAAAATCCCTCCAGTGGTTTTTTCCTCGACACGGTAACAAACAGACAGACAGACAAAAATTCTAAAAACTATAGATTCAGCCTCTGTATCGATTATAATGTTTATTTTAATAAGATTTTCCAAAAAATATCTAATGTACAGATTCGGCTTACTTACAATATTATTATATGTATAGAGTAATTACAAGTTATCAACCGACTTCAAAAAGGAGGAGGTTCTCAATTCGACTGTGTTTTTTTTTATGTTTGTTACCTCAGAACTCCGTCATTTATTAACCGATTTGTACAATTTTTGTTTTGTTTGAAAGGGTATACTTCCAGATTGGTCCCATTTAAATTTCAAAAAAAAATACCACCCCTAAGGGTGGAAAAATAGCTAATGATGAATGTAACCTGTCTCTAATTGTCATATTGACTTGAAACTTTGCAAGTATTTCTATTTCCGTTGATAGTACAGTGGTTGGGTGTTGTTGACCTGATCTGATGACAAGGCCAGAAGGTGGATAGGTGGAACTCTTCAACGGCTAATAGTAGATACTTTGAGTTTGGGTTATTTTGTTTGATTTGACAAGCCTAACACGTTAGAATCCTTACTTTGCTACTACTGTCTACACTAAAAAGGGAAAAATAAAAACTTTTTAACAAAAAAATAAAAACCGACTTCAAACAAAAGCATTAAAAAGTAACAAATAACTGATTGGTAGTTTTCATTTACTATACATACCTAATCAAATATTTTCGAAATCGGTGCCAGCCCATACAAAGCAAAGCACAAAAATATTTGATTAGGTATGTATAGTAAATAAAAACTACCAATCAGTTATTTGTTACTTTTTAGTGCTTTTGTTTGAAGTCGGTTTTTATTTTTTTGTTAAAAAGTTTTTATTTTGATTCACTAAAGCTAAGCTGTAGACTTGCTATCACTTTGGAAAAGGCAAACAATTTATTTTAGCTGTCCATACTCTACCGACACGACACGGGGCGTGCGCCATTATTTTTTACGCTCCATTATTTTATCTCAATTTCTTTTTTATTGGTTTTTTATACAATTTTGAAAGCTTAGTTCAGATACGTTTAACGAATATAAAGTTATATTAATATTTATTTTACGTCTCAAATATGATAACGGTAAAAAGGCAATATTACATTACCTACAGTAAACGGACAGGCAAGTACCAAATACTCGTCTCAATATTAAATACCTATTGTAACAGCTGGACTTGATATACAAACTTAAATTAGACAAAAAAAGTCCAAATCTTACTTTTTCCTGCATTCATTTTTGGTTTGTTAACAATCGAATTAATCTTAGGAATGATAAAATCGACAAACATTTTTTTTGTAAATAGATGGATAATTTTAAGTATTTTCCACCTCGCTATTTTTGAAGGCCAATTTTAGCCAAAGTAGCCTATTAAGTACTACATTTTTTTAAAGATTATAGAAATTTGAGAGTCTGGAAAACTTATGAGACCTATTTAGGAACCATGAAGTCACCTGTTTAAATTTTTTATTTCAAGTTGAAAATTTAAGTCATAATTCACCGAATGTTTTTATGTGTTTTTCACTTTATACCAACGTTTTAATAATTTCCATTAAAGTTACAAAGCTGATTATTTTAAGCATAAAAGTACAATTTATGAAGATTGAGTTGCAAAAAAATACTCGAAAAGGCCTTCTACTTCTTTTTTAACTTTTTTAAGTTGTTCATTTTGAAAATTCTCATAAATTCAGAAAAAAAATCATAACTCAAAAATTATGAACAATTGCTTAACAAACATGGGGGTGATTCGGGTACTCCAAGGGGTGCTTTATATCTGGACTTCCTTGACACTACTTTCTGGGACATCCTGTATAATATAAGAAGTAGGTTTTAAGGTTTTTTATACCTAATGCAAAACATACTTCGCTTGGCGAATTTACCCGCTTTTTTGAAGATACAAGAATGACCGTCAAGCGGCCCGAATGATCACGAAGGGACCTAAGCCTTCGATGTTCATCTACCTATCTTTAAAATGCTAAATTAAAGGGTTAGACAACGTGAACACTTTAAGATTTTCTCTCTCTTAAAATAGTAACATATATGTAAATATATAGGTACATATGTATAGTCAAACTTAGTGTATTATTAAATGTGTCTAAATTATACTGCTGTGTTAACTCATATATTACAACAATACATACTCATAACTTGCATCCAATGTTTTGACCATTTTAAAGAAAGAAAGACGTGAACCGCTAGGCAATGCTGTACAATAAAATTAAGAAAAATAAAAAGATAGGGGTTTATTACCCCTGTGGGGCACTCCATACAAGTAAAAAAGGACAAGTGTTTTTTTTAATAGCATACTGCATAGCTAGTAGACCAGCTGCCAAAAAGTAATGCGATAGATGATGGCCTAACTGAATGAATGCTAATAAAAATTGGAAAGAAATATCTAACCGACTAATCACTTCAGCCCCTATACTGTTCAAACTTCAAAAAAAAATCTAAAATAAAGTCGAAAAGTTAAAGTAAACGCAGTTCGTTTAGCGAAAGCTTTTCGACTGTATTTTGAGTAAAAATAATAAATTACGCATTAATTTTCTCGTAGAATAGCAAAAACGAAAACTCGTGAATAGATATCGAGTTTCCGATCGTTCGATAAATTGCAAACATGGGGGCGACGGGGTGAAGCGAAGTCGATGTAATAACTGTCTCACGGCTAATACTTGATAGGCAGGCGTGGTCGCCATCCAGCAATTCGACTTTATTTACCTGACCTTTGGAGGGCATAGGTAGGTACTCCACCCGCATTCTCCCAACAAATAAATTATATTTCATACCAATATGTATATATCAATTGTCACTTCCATTATGATTTTTCATTTCGTAAAAAGCTTTTATGAACATTAATTGCCAGCGTTGAGTACTATAATTCTATTTCATTGTTAATAGTAATTCAATAAGGGGACATATGTATGTGTTGGAATCCATTAACGGATAAATATTTATCCATTTATCGTATAGCCTTTCGACCTAACCTGTGCGTTAACGTCAGTTAATATCCAATGTTTGTATTATCATAAAATAAAATTAATATAAATGTTTTTATTTATAAACTAGCATTGCCCCCGGCTCCGCCCGCGTTCAGATGACCAAAAACCAAATTCTTAGGTTTTACATATTAGTATACTCTTACAATGCAGTTTTTGTGTTTTTGTATTTTTTCTCAGAAATATGATATTTTCCCGCGGTAAAAAGTAGCCTATATGGTGACCCGGATAACCAGCTATCATCATATGAAATTTCATCAAAATCTGTTCATTGGTTTTCTCATGATGCGGTAACAGACAGACAGACAGACAGACAGACAGACAGACAGACAGACAGACAGACAAAAGATCTAAAAACTATAGACTCGGACTCTGTATCGATAATAATGTCTATTTCAATTAGATTTCCCAAAAAATATTTAATGAACAGATTTGACTTAGTTAGAATTTTATTATATGTATAGATGAAAGTAAACACAAAAATAAAAGCAGGGCCTTTACTCGTGCAAATATATAATACGAATGTGCACAAAAAATGAATACATATAAAAAGAAGTAGCGAAATGAATCCTGTACTTTAAGGATTTTCTTCAACAACGTAATATAAAGGTATCATATCTAGCGGGGAGATTGAAACCTGTGCAAGTGTTCTTTGTTCTAAGTACGTCACGTGCTGAAGCTTTTTATTATCTTGCTCTATCCCGCCTACGAGACGCGTGCTTAGAGAAGTCGTTTCCGTGTAAATTAAGTAGCTTACTGCTGTACTTGGGAAATTCAGCACTAAGTAACTGCACATTTGCTTTTGTTTTGTTTAGAAATTTCGTTCACTAATTGAATGTACTCTTTAACATAATTGGAATTGCAATTGCTTCATTTTGTTTGTTTTAGACTTGTAAATGTAAAATATTTGAAAAGTATAAGAAATAATAATTTCAAAATTAAACTATCTTTTCAGATTGTTTCGGGGATTTATTTTGATTTTTGGTTATTATAGTCACTAGAGAGACTAAGGTTTTAGACGTCTCAAAGGCGTTATATTCTTGTTACAGACAGTGCCTACCCACCATTTTACAAAAATGATTTCAAAAATTTAAAAATGGCACCAGAGTACCTTACAATATTTGTTGATTTTAATTCTTAACAGTTTAAAAGTTTTTAATAAGTATTATAATTAAATACAGTAACATTATTTATTTAATTTAAGCTGTTATTATTATAAATATTACAATTTTTTTAAATTTTATTATAATATTATTTAGTGTTGCTATTACTATAATCTGTATAACCACAAAGAAAATTAAAAATTAACAATATTAATTATTTATTTAAGCAATACTATTGTTTTATGTGTAATTTAAAAATTAAGTTATTAATTTAAAATGTTATTGTTTAAAATTACAATATTAAGCAACACTTGCTATCTTTAATATTTGCGTTTATAATTTATTTAGTAACGTTTTATTTAAACTGAAAACAAAAGTATTAAGAAATACCAACTTTAATTTTGTTAATAAAGTTAGAAATTCTTGTATATATTTCATTTTTGTCTTCAGAAAAGATGAAAAAGCATTAAATAGGTTTTACCTTTTTGTAACGAATTTCTTGAAAAGTGCTTAGCATTCATACAGGGAATGACACGAATCCCGCAAAAACCGAGGCAAATGACGGGATCACGTCTAACGCCTGTCTGACGTTGCATTTGTCAAAGGAAATGTTCAGCTGCTCTTCCAATTAACTTGGCCATTATATTTCAAGTATTTGATGTACTCTAAATTTAAATTAATGTTATAATAGTATATGTTTTAACACATTTTGATGCCATTAGCAAGAAAATTGAATTGAATTGAACATGTTTTAATTTGTAAACAATACAGCAAAATCACTTCAGCATAAGATGCGAATACACTTGGACTATTGCCAGTATACTGCCCTTTTGTCTTTTTGTTTTATAGGAAAAATGTATTTTGTAATGATAACAACTATTGTGACTTTTTATTAAATTGATACTTTTGTTTTCAGGTGTCGCCTTCGCTGTTGAAGTCCACTTTGAAAATAAGGACAGTGGTTTTTTCCTAAAACACACTGCGAGATGGAATGGAGCTGGACCTCCACCTGAGCCAATGGGAACTGCCTTACCTGGGGCTCTACTCTCACTTGACAGATTCACAGTTTTACAAGGTTCTTCTCCTGCTTCGGTTCGAGCTACTTACGGACCATTTTCTACCAAACAAACAGTACCAGCTCGCTACGCAGTACCCGACCCTCTTGAACCACCTAGAAGAAATGCAACTTTAATTGAATTACAAGATGCCACTGCACATCGACTTGACGTATCAGCCCACCTCGTATGTAGAGAACTGCCTAAAGATGCTCCAGTATTGAGAGTGCTATTTCACACCGGTGGTGAAGGTGGTGCACGACGAGCGGCAGCCAGGCCACGTCGTGTTTGTATAACCCTGCATGCCAGTTTGGGAACAAAAACTTTAACAGCAACATGTGGCCCTGAAGGCGAAGAAGGTGCTTGTTTAGCAGAATTGACCGTACCAGCTGCATGGTGGCCAGCAGATGGTAAAGGGAAACGGCCACCAAAAACAATGAAATTAGCTTACAGTGCAGCAGAAGCAAGTAGTGGTGAAACTGGTGAAGGGGTATGCGGCAAAGTTTCTGTTCAACCAGCGTGGCCTTTAGGTACTGTGACTCTTGCTGGAGCACGCGCTGGGTATAGAGAAGCGCGGGCTGGAGATACAGCACTGTTGCTACCGAGAGCGCCACTATACCCTCATTTTCGACTTCATCTGCCATTTGTTGTTCGCCGTGATACTGGGCATTCTATTGGACACGTTGTTATAAGGTCAGTACCTATTTCTTTTTTCTATTTTATTTTTACGCACTTTACCTAGCGGGATAAACATAAAATGTAGTGATAAATCCATTTTGGAAGCTGTGCTTTATATAAATCGACAAAGGTAAACAATACAAGGGAGAAAATCTTATGAGAATTTAATCTAGGAATTCTGGCGCAGTAAATATTGGCAGTTGGCTTTTTTTCATATTTATTTATGCAAAAAAACATTAAGGTTTTAATAAAAAATAAAAACTTTTTAACAAAAGAATAAAAACCGACATCAAACAAAAGCACGAAAAAGTAAAAAATAACTGATTGGTACTTTTCATTTACTATACATACCTAATCAAATATTTTCGAAGTCGGTGCTGTGCTTTGTATCGACTGGCACCGACGGACATCCGTGACAAGTACTTGGTACCTCATATGGTATGTAAAACATATGTGGAGTCTTTGCGATTATAGGCGAATATGTATAGATCCCATTGTAAGTATCAAACGCCAATGATGTCCAAAGTAATCAAAATACACCTGTTTTATGAACTCCGACACACTTAGTCTACAATTTTTGAATGTATATATACCACATATGTTACAGAAATAGATGGGATCGTTTTTACAGATCTTGCTCGACGTGAACATTGTTAAACAAAAAAACTTTTTAAAACAACAGCTCAATTGATTTGAAGTTTAAATGTGTTTAGTACAAAAATATGCCTGATAGCTAAATCTCAAAAAAGAGAGCTTCTAAAGAAAAATTGAGGTTAGATTTTAATCAGCGACCTCAAATTAGAAAACAACAGTCATAAAATTCCATGCAAAAAAAATGCTCTTGTTATCAAAGCAGCGAAGCAATAGGGTAACTTAAGAATATTTTAGATGGTTTTTCACAAGTAAGGCTTAAGGTTAAAATATTCATAAACTTAGTTGAAAAAATCTTTTAGCCATTATTGTAAACATAATATTTATCAAGTTTTTATTAAATATTACTTTTTCAAATAATAACTATGATTTTATATCAGAAACTATAATCGCCAAATTATGCGCGAATTATACCGCAGAAACGTATTACATTCTAAGTACCTCTATACCTAAACAGCACCTGCTTCGAAACTTCAGCGAATATATCTGTTCCTACTTTTGAAATATGAGGCGTCGGGCCGCTCGGGAATATCGTTCGCTCCAAACGAAAATTTATAACCACTTTAGTTTTACATAAAAGTTACATTAAGTAGGTTTGTGCCTGGGATAAGTCTTAGGATATTTAAATATTTTTTTATCTTTTAATAGAATGAAGGTGAAATCTGGACTAAGGTTGGTAAGTGTGACTTCAGCAAACTCGCATTGGGCAGTTACGGCTGAAGTAAAACCGCGAGCTGCAACCGTGACAGCAACACGTCTAGAGCAACCCCTACGTGATGACGATAGTGTCGACACGTAAGTAGCAAATTGTTTACTGTTACTGAATAGGAAATAGCTTTTGTCTAGCATGCTTTCTACAGAATTCATAAAATGACTTTACAAGCGGAACAAAGTAATAGTATTATTCCACTTTTAAAGATAGTTTTTTTTTATTTATATGAATTAAGTAAGGTGGTACTTAATAAATATATGAAAATTAATTATTATATTCTTCTTAAAGAAGGAGTTATTAAAATCGATTAACAGGGAGTGAAGATATTGCGTAACAAAAATAATACAAACCAAATTGAACTTATCTTTTTCGAAATCGGCTAAAATATACTAAACATTATTTATTGAAAATAATAAGTATAAGCTCTTTTTAGTACTTTATTTAAATTACATATAGACATTACATAGTAAATATTTTTCTGGATATGAATAGAAATATAATAGAAAATTTGAATTGATAAAGGCAATTTAAAAATAAGGTACACCAAAAATATCTAGTATACACAACAAAATTCGAATAGAAGATATAATACAGAGTAAAAGGGCTAGTGTCTCAATGGGATCACTTGACAAAAAGAAGGTGGTTATAACAAGTGTCATTATAGCTCACATTACTTACTAGTTCTACATGAATTTTCTGTGTGAAATTTAAATTCCGTCGTGCATAAAGATTATCCTTAAAAATATACCATTCATTTTTCGTGCTGCTCTTTTTTACACTTCGTGGGTAATTTTTTCACGTTTCAGTCCATAAAACTGCGTTGCTCTTACAGCGCGGTAAATTGGCATAGCGCCTCGCTGTCGGTGCCTCTAAAATGAAACTTAACGTTTTGAATTTCGCAGTTAACGCTGGTCAAGTTGTTCTGGCTAGGTGTCAAAATTGCTAATGGACGCAAACGGTTGTTATTTTTTTTAAGGCTTTTGTGAAGATTTTTTTTCATTTCATTGAAGAGTGAATTAAACATAAATACCTAATAATAGAAGTGGATCTAAAACAAAGCAAAAGTAGTTCATTATATTGTAGATGTCATATGTACCTATGTACACACGAAATACAAAATCTATAATATAACTAGAATGAAGATTAAACACCATTGCTGTACCGAAAAGACAAATAAACCTGTAATATGCTCGTATATTGATACTAATGTTTTAGGTATAGTATTTAATTTAATTTTTATTTTAAAATATCTTATTTACACAGTGAAGTAGAAGAAAACACTGGCGCTGGTGGCCCTGGATGGGAAGAAGTTTTAACATGGCTGGTGGAGGTCGGAGCAGAAGGTGAAGGTGATGCTGAAGATTCAGAAGGAGAATCTGGTCGAGGAACGGCTCGCATTAGCTGGTCTGCTAAAGTATCTTCATCACCTAGTGCTACGTCTACTACTGAAGAAACACCTCACGAACATCGAGTTAACACGAGACTGGACATTGAAAAGGATGATATTCAAGCTGTACTTCCTATTTCGAAGGTATTTTTATACCTGCATATCTGAGTATCCTAGTACATAATACGATCATCAATTCATTAATCTACAAATATTGACGTTATTATAATTTTAGACTCTAAAATCTGTACTGTATACGAATAGTCTCAATATTTTAGTAAAAAAAGGGTCACAGAAAATTATTATATACATATTTATTTAATTTTATTTACATATTTACATGTATAGTAGATAACTTCACATGTATAACTACCTATTCCCTGTCTTTTATAGGAAAATAAACGTTTACAAATACGGAAATAGTATCTGAATCCCTAAGCAAGGGGAATGGTTTATTCTGATCTTTAAAATATTCATCTTATCGGCTTAACGACAAATTCTAAGTAATAACATATGGCCATAGCCAAATAGTTTAGATAAAATTTGAAAATATATCTTCGAAATCGTTAAAATTATCTACACTACGCTTTAACTAATTAATAACGCAGGATATTCAAAGATGTTTTTTTGGTAAACAAAAACAATTTGGAGTGCGAGTAGTATATAGTCAAAACTTCGTTAAAATAAAAGGATTCTAAAGTAAAAAAAAAAAAAGTTAGTTGACATTTTAAACTTAAATTTTAAATCACCCATTTCAGGTGAGGAGAAACATTATTTCATTTCAGTTTGAAAACTTTTGAGTGCTCCACAGTTTTTAGCTATAGATGACGTATGAATAGATACTTTTTTATTGAATGATTAGACGACACGTTTGGCTCTGTTTGTAGTGACCCTACTTGCTGTGCCAGCGGTCGCGGGTTCGAGTCCCGCTGGGGGCAATCATTTGAATCTTTGTATTCCAGTCACGGGTGTTTATATTTATAATATGTTAAAGTTATATATGTGTAGTGTATCAAATATCTAGTATCTGTAACACAGGTCTCGTAGCTTATCACGGAACTAGATGGTACTGTGTGTTAGTCTCAACATATTTATTTATTTACTTTTATTTCGTGCTCATAATAAAAGCTCTTTAATATTGGCGTTATTAATTGGTTCAATGTTGTTGTGATGTTAAGAATTCTCCTTGTGGCTTGTGTCAACATATTCATTGAGAGTAATTTCTTAACAATTGAACACAATTGCTATATATGACTGACTACTGAGGACATCAAACGTACTAAATTATATGTAAATTCTTTGGTTATTTTTTAAATTGGTAATAAACTAACAAATTGTTTATGTACGAGTCTGACACATGTGAAAGACTATTACGTAGATATATTGAATTCAAAAACTTAAGATTTTCTCTGCATCTATTTATTTGTATGAAAAAGAATTTTTTTCATATGGAGCTCTAAACATATATGTACATAACATCTAAACATTAAAAAACTTATTACTTTGTTTAGAATTGGGAAGTTCTAAATACGGCCGTTCTCACTGGACGACAAGTATCCCAGGCTATGAAAGTGCTGATTGTATCTCAAGCCGGTCAGGTGGCTGACGTCACGCTACAAAGCTCTTGCCATTCTGAAGATGAGAGTGTTCTAAAGGTGAGTGTTAAGGGTGATCTGATGAGATGAGATGATAAGACGCAATTTGATATTTATAATTTAAATTTTAAAACAAATCTAAAATATAAAATAAATAAAAACCAGCTTCAAAAAAAAGCACTAAAAAGTAAAAAATAACTGATTGGTAGTTTTCATTTACTATAGATACCTAATCAAATATTTTAGAATTCGATGTGCTTTGGTTTGTATCGGCTGGCACCGAGAGATTTTATTTTTCCCTTTTTAGTGTAGGCATAATAGTAGCAAAGTAACAAGAAAGTGTTTTTAATAAAATATTCGCTTAAGCCGTTTAAGTTAGTTTGATGCCAATTTTTATAAAAATACTGACAAACTAAAATAAGCTTTTATCACTTCTAGGTAAATTTCTAAGAAATTAATTAATTTCTAAGAAATCTATTGTTAACTGTAACGCCGGCGTGTCCGCGGTCGTGGAAGGATTATTAGTAATACTAAAAATTCTGGCTATAAAATCCTATTCTAACATATTGGGCTTGTCAAATCAAACAAAATAAGCCCAAACTCAAAGTATCTACTATTATTTATTAGCCATTGAAGAGTTCCGCCTATCCACCTTCTAGCCTTACCATCAGATCAGGTCGACGATACCGAACCACTGCATTATTAAATAAATAGAAACACTTGCAAAGTTTCAAGTCAATATGACAATTAAAAGTAGGTTAAATTCATAATTAGCTATTTTTCCACCCTCAGGGGTGGTATTTTTTTTTGAAATTTAAATGGGACCAATCTGGAAGACTTTCAAACAAAACAAAAATTAACTAAATCGGTTAATAATTATACGGAGTTCTGAGGTAACAAACAAAAAAACATACAGCCGAATTGAGAAACTCCTCCTTTTTGAAGAAGTCGGTTGAAAATGCTAGATGTCAGGAATATTTAAAAATTAAAATAATAAAATTCGCTAAGAATACATAGCAAATTTGTGTGAATAGGTATATTTTAAATATCAGAAATTTCTCCCAAGTAAATAATGCTGTAAAAATTTCTTTTATACTGTGATTTTTACAAGTTAACACTTGAGTATTATGAAAAGGTTGTTTTTGTTAAAGAGAATAAATAGATTTCTTTAAATATAGTACAATTTTTTATACTCTTAATTTGCTATATATGCCTAGAGCGCTGTTTACTTGTATATATAGATATGGCCTTAATACTGTGTCACTTTTTTATTATGTGGGCTAATTTTAGCATTTCGCCCAAATAGAATTTTAAATAAAGACAATCTCTAAATCCGGGAGCGGCTTAACTATTACTTTTCAAAAACCCTGGAAGTTACCCAAGGGAACTCTTTGGGCAAAACATAAGAGCATTTCCTGTTATTTTAAATTAAAGGTAATTTGTATGGAATTAAGGTCCCTTTTTGGAATACTGTTTGGGTAATGAAAGCAATATCCATGACAATAACTATAAAACTGTTGTACAAACGTTAGTAGTCACAAAAAGCAAGCAGTTTTTATTTTATAATTATTTTATTTTTTAAATAATGATTAAATAAATTTAATGAATGTAGGTATCGTCATCATGCAGTTCGGTGTATGTGGATGGATCCGAAATTCGCGGCTCCTCGAACGCGTCTGTTATAGTGAAATACGGCACGTACACCGGTTTGGCGAGATTTACAGTGTGGATGCCAGAATATCCCCTTGAAATCGACGCTGATGATAACCGACTATCACAAATCAAAGGTATTTTATGATTAAACACAGTTATTTTCCGTTATTTAAACGTGTTATACGATACGACTAATTCGCAATAATATCTTAAGCAGGAAACCGTATATAGTGGAAGACATTAACCCCTCTTAATTGACGGATCAAATACTCGTATCAAATTCACTTATCTAGATTCTCGTTCATGTTACTTATTATCTTGATGTTTATTTTAAGAGAGACGAAATCACTTTTTTATTCGTTGAAATGTTTCTATCGAATTTATTTATCTAAAATACGATTGTCAATGTACATACTCGTATTTACAGGAGATCATATTGACTGACAAATGCTAGTAGATTTTCCATTATTGCATTATTCTCTTGCATATGCAAACTCTTTGTTCATGTACTCTTTTCTACTTTGTTTGTATTGACCTATATCTGTTCTCTTATAAGGCTGGAAAGTATCAGATGAGGCGAACGCTAAAGACAGATTACGGCGGTCTTTGTCGTCACGAGGGTGGGGCTCGAGGCCCGACGCCCCCAACTCTCTGACAGATCAGCGCTCTTGCAGGCTGAGATACCAACAAAGCAACGTTGAGGTTTGTATAGATTGCTTTCTTTGTGACCAGCTTAGAATGCTGATACAAAGAGTCGAACAAAAAGTATTTACGTGACCAATGTTGTATAATTACATTTAAGAAAAAGAACTTGTTTTTTATATTTTTAATTTTAATCTGGCATTTGCAATGTATGTATCGGTTTTCTTTATTTAAAGTGCCTCGATATAAAGTGAGAAGCGAGTATGATGTAATTGGTACTAATTGGACCAAGAAATCGTGTTGCAGTTTCTCTATAATTTACAGATATTCAGTTCTTTTCGCTGCGGAAGTTAATCATTAATTAATAAAGTATGCTACTGAGATACTCTTGGAGAATTGCCAATTTGCGAAATGATTATTGCTATACTATTTATGTCAACTAGTAATATTTTGGTGTATCGACATAAATAACTGGATGAATGGTGTTTTATACTTTAATAATAAGTAGGTTTGGTTCTATATTATGATGTGGTAATATAAAGCAGTGTGCTTAAGAAGTATGTTTTAATAAGAGCTTAATCAATATCAACTTCTATAGGAGATGTAACATTGTCTTCAATGCTTTTATACAGTTAAAATATAATATCACTAATTGAGCAGACAGACGTTCTGTAAAAAGCTATTGGACAGTTGCAGTCCCACAAACTTAAAAAACTTTTCTCGTCAAGTTCTGGCTATGGCGTCGCTTATAAAGTGCACATGTCGTGATGACTTCCTTAGTTATAAGTTATGGTCACCAGAACAGATAAATTCACCGGTTTGTGATATTCGAATTCTTTCAATTTCCATCCGATTAGGCTGAAAATTAGCCTGTTCTGTAGCATTTTTTTATCTTAGTTCTTCAACTCAAATTACTTCGCCCACGTCTAATAGGCGGCAGGAGTATAAATGAAACATACACAAAATAAACCAATAAATTAAAGTATAAGGGGGATTTTTCTGTCGATTGAGAAGCGAAGATTTAAAAACAACCAAGTATAACCGAAAAACTGTCAAAGTCAAACTGTATATCGTAGAAAGAGACAAATACAAATGCATTGAATACAAATGCATTGAAGTTATTTATATTAATTTTAACGTTGCGTTCATAATTATAAAGTAGTAGGAAAGAAAAAGAAAAAAGAGTTTTTTACGTTTTTCCGTGAAATTTTGCCAATTTTTTTTTCATAAGAATCTTCTCGGACTTCAACGAATATTTGAAAAAAATTAGCCGAATTGGTCCAACAGTTCACGAGTTTTACGATTAGCAACACATTTAGCCATCCATTTTTATTTATAAGAAGATAAACTACGAGTATATCGACATAGGTTTCTAAGTCAACTGACACTGACGCAGTGTTGAACTAGATCGCTCTAAGTGAGCGGATGTTTGACCATACTCATATTTAGATATCCCAGAATGATAAAGATAAAGTGGTGCGTGGAAAACCGCCAATAGGTACCACACATGACCTATACTTAACATGCCATATAGGCGGAACACTAAAAGAAATATCCATCACAACTACGAGTATCTCTACCGATGCAGCGTGTTATATTCCTTACATATTTTAAAACACTAATCACACAAACTCTTTTGGATATATTTTGCTACAAAGTTTGTTTACAATTTTAGCTTATTAGCAGTTCAGTACAATTTACGATCATGTCACGGCGTGACACGAATTTTTAAATACGCCTGTTACAGGGTTTAAGCCTGGGAAAAACAAGAGCTATCCCTATCTCTATAGATATAGGTTTAAACTTAATAGAACTACTATTATATTTGTGAAAGTATATACATATGTATGTGTGTGTATGTTTGTTATTCCTTCACGCTGAAACGATTGGACGGTATTAGTTGAAGTTTAGTACATAGATAGATCTTGAGTAACACATAGGCTACTGTTAGTAACCTAGTATCACATTCGAGAGAAGCGAGAGTAAATAACTGGTAATCTATACATATAATAAAACAGTTAGCGAAATCTGTACATGAAATATTTTTTTAAAACAATGACTGTACCGTATTGTGTACAGAATATAGATCCCAAAACAATAGTTATTAAAAGTTTTGTCTGTTTGTGTGTTCGCCTTTCACGCAAAAAATACTATTTCAATTTTAACTAAATTTTGTGTAGTGATAACTTATTACTCGGCTCAACATTTAGGATAGGTACCTATTGTACCTGGTGTACGAGTAGTAAACTACAGAAAAATCTTTCATTCCCTCGGTTTCTTTCATTCCCTCATTTAAGAGATACATCAAAACAATGCACTAGAAAATTGTAGGTCTTAATAAAGTCTACTGTAAAGTCTACAATAGCAATAAATATTTCTCCTAAGATACACTCGCAATAATTATTCATATATATTTAAAATGTACCTAGGGACGCACCTTTCTTTTTAACGATGGGAAATGCATTTGCGCACGAGGTGTGGGACTCACAGGCGTAATAAAGCCAGTACTACCCACTAAAACCCAAACCAACCAAACCAAACCTTCCCCCGTCTTAATGGGGCGTCGCAGGATCGCTTACGCATTCAACTACGACGCTCCGACCTCAGGTCTGCCGAAGCAGACCACCACAACCATGGGGTTGCTCCAAGGTCCACTCTGCTATCAGAGAAGTACCGGAAGCAGCCCGCATGATACACCGCCCTCCGAAGAGGGCCACCTCCCACCACCCACCTAGGGACGCACCTGATTGAAGCGAGAGTAAGTCATTACTTCATAATATATTTGTTATACAGGTATATGCACGATTCCTGGCTAAGGATCATGACTCTGGCAGAGTGTCATACTTCGTGTCGCGGCGCACTTGGCTGAAAGTAACTGAGCTAGTGTTATCTCTAATGCGCGTATCGGACCCGCGTATTGCGTTTCTGCGTGATCGAGTGTTACAGGGCCGTAGCACCGGGCGCACTGAAGTTCAAGTGCTATCACCTATAACTGGTAAGAAATTATTATATTTTAGTTTTTTTTATACACTTGTTAATTTTATTATAGAGAGAGTTATGTATGTTAATTATACTCTTGGATGAATACAGAGTCAAATTATGTCGATATATGAATAGAACTTGGGAATCCCAAGATTCATCTGCTTGTGATGCCAATTGCCATAACTATCTGTTCTTATCTAAAGAAAACAGCATCAATTTCTATATTCTGATTATCACTCTTCCATAAAAAAACATCAAATGTACAAACGATATTACGTACGTTAAATACTAAGGGAGATCGTAAACTTTCACTCGAAATCATGAATATACAAAAACTCATATTTTATATGTTCAACACTCAACAGGACGAGTGATCGGGCTCCGTGAAGTGCGTGTCGTGAACGACAAAGTCTCGATCTCCCGGCTGCTGGTACGCGTTATCTCTGGCCTGCAACTTAATATTTCTCCTGACACCGCAATCGAAAACGGATATGTTTCCGAAACCACTGTCACTAGACGCTTGACGGCTCAATATCAGGTAAAGTATCATTTCAAGAACTAGATTTAGTATAAATTACTTACATATGTGTATTTTTGCTGTATAGTGTTGCTCGCAACTATGCGCCATGTGCGTGGCTTTATTCCTAAAAGAAAAAATATGACCACAGTTTTTATGAGATCAAGTTATATACATAGTTACATATATTACAAATAATGGAAAGGTCAAGTTATATTTTAGGAATTAAAAAAATACCGAAATAAAATATTTAGTATAAAAAGGTTTTACAAGAAATTAATTGAGTTTCATGATCCTAGCAAAAAGAAAATCAAAATTCCAAGAAAAACAATTATAATTTTCGTACGTATAATTTTACCAAAAACTATTCAACGTTCTACCTACTTTACCTTGTTATAATAATGTTAAATATTTAATGTTTATATATACATAAACACCAAAAATAGCTTTAATAGTAAAAGCACAACAATGTTAATAGCACTTTTATAAATTCGGTGCCATAATGATTTCTCCGAGCTAATGTTTACGTAAAAGCTTTATTTTAAGGATTTATATATCAAAGTGTACCCGTAAATCGAACATTACTCACAGTGACTTATGAACTTTAGATGGCCTCGAAATAAGGGTTCAGACATTAAGATTGTAAAGGTCAACCAACATTTGCGGTGGTTTAGTTTTCGGCTCTATTAATAAGGTAAAATACTTTTCAGGAAGGTTTATTGGATATTGACATAGAGTTTTCCGATGGAAGTCACACCGCTTTGAGAGATGTCGCTGTCTCAGATTATTACTTGCTAGTGGAAAGCTTAGACACTGAAGTGGTTGCTTTTGCTCCGATGCTGGCTTCACGACATCCCAGGGTTATTGCCGTTGGTGAAGGTATATATAATATTTATAGTGATTGTTAATATTTTAAGAAACATATCTATGATTAAATTAATAAAATGGATGATCTTCAAAATAATTCCTTCTTAGATATACGTGAATATTTGAAATATTAAGTAAAACTAGCTTTTACGATTTTTTGTGGATTTATTTTGATTTTTGGTTCCCGAAATTTCGTACGCTTTACAGCAATCATGGTTGTTCGGAAGAATATGTAGGTAGACGGGTTAAAGGAATCCACATTAAATCAAATACTTGTTTAATAAGTACTTTAGAAAAGAGTATATTTGTACATAGTACAATTTATGATTTGGACCCGACGTGTAGCTCGTGCGTGAGGAAAAAAGAGATTGTTAGTAAGTAAAAACTGCGTCCGGTAGCGGGGGCCCGCAATGCCTATGTGTGCGTAGATGTAGGATATGGAGGATTGCATGTGCGGGTTCACAGCTTAGCAGGCGAACGGCGTTTACAATGGTCAAGGGAGAGACTGAGTCTTTAAAAATTTTAAAGAAATTCACTTACTCATAAACACATTTCATTGCATTTATAATATAAATGTGATATTTCAGGCAGCGGCGAACTTCTCCGAGTTACTCTTCTAACGCCTGAACAATGTCGGTCGGGTCCTCTCCGGCGGGTAGCTCTACCTGGTAAGGGAGATGCTAAGACACCAGCAAATATAAAGAATATACCAGGAGCTCTAGCAAGTGCTGCGGCGAGTGTTGATGTGGACTTCAGTGGCGGAGATACACCTCAAAGACCTGATACTCCTCAAAACGACGATATTATGGCTCGAGGTGGTGTCCGAACTGGCATGTCTGATCTTAGTGATGTTCTTAAAGGTATATACAAAAGTTTTACTTTTAATATAGATGTTTTATTTTCTTTGTTCTTATATTTTGTGACATATGAATTATGAATATAAAGGAAATTTAACTTTTTTAATAAAAACTAGTTAACATTTTCAGAGTATTAGAAAAAACGTATTTAAATGAGAATGGGAGTGAGATATTTTGTAATGCTATATAATGTTACAAACACACTTTTGTCTTTATAATATTAGTATGGACGTTTAAATGACCTTTAACATTTACTTAGTACGTGACTATTATTGATTTCAGGTTTCTCGCCATTCAAAGATGAAAACAACCATGAACCAACCGTGCAAGCTCAGCAATACGGTTCAATCTTCCGAAGCAACTCCGCTCTACATCCACGACATCCGCCACAAAATAACATGTCACAAGTCGAAATTGGTAATTATTGCTTTTTTATTTTTTAATTAAAAGAATTTAAACTATATATACATACTATGTTCTAATAAAAAAAAAAATTTACAGGCATGTTCGTCCTCTTGGGAGCATTTTGTTTTGCTATTGTGGTAAGTTAGTCATCGTTACATAAAAATTAATTGATATCCACAAATTTTATTTAATGATTTATTAATATTAATATTGTCATTAAACATCATTTGAACATATCTTACTTCGAGATTAATTATTCTAAAATTATTATAAGTACAACAATTACCTTGTAAATCCGTTCAAAATTTCCTTCATTCTTTTATTTTCCTTAATATTACTACATTCTTACAGGTGTTTGTAGTATCCTGCGTTGTTTACGCATATCGACTAAAACCTGCGAATTCAGAGAACAATACCGGAGGGACACGATCTATGGCCGCGGTGGCCGAGGGCGGGAGACTGCAAGTAGCTGGGCTAGTTGGTACTACTCTGGGATTAACAAGAGACAAACCGTCTAGGGAATCCACTACCAATGCTCATGATTGGGTTTGGTTAGGTACGCTTTATAACTTTATTAATCCCAAGACGATTAAGACTAATTAAGGTTTAGTTGTTATAGAAGTCACTTATTGAATTTGCCAATTTGCGTACGTCTTACTTTTTTATATTGTATATATACTACTCATACCATCAAAGCAATATTAAAATATTTTGACGAAAAAACATAAGCTCTCGTAACAGAGGATATTGTATTTATCACAGGTAGAGCAACAATCGAAAGGAACGGTAACCGCCAACCAGCGAACGCTAACAGGAACTCTACACAGCCGTCTGAGAAGGGTAACAACAATCAAGAGATGAGGATCACCGCCAACCCTCTTAACTACAACTACGTGGACCCAGATGATGCGATCCGTGAAAACGGAAACGTCATGGTTACAAGCTTCGACAACCCCAATTCGATCGAGCTGCCTTCCCAAAACGAAAAACAGGATCGAGTCATCGATACAACAACATATTGCAAGAAGCCTTCAAGGCACACTCGTCAAAACTCCGGAGACGGTCATTGGCAGTAAGATTATCATTGTCATCATTAGTTGCATCTCTCACAACAGCCATTTTAACATTGGATTATGAATTGAATATATCTGTTATAATAATAATATTAATATTTTAGTTTAATTATCCCTTTTTACTTCAGGATGGATACCAGCAACGAAGACGACTATCGACCCCCCGTACCTCCCCATAGAAACTCTGGAACCCCTCAGTCTCAAGTACTTATGCCACCCCGAAATTCCAACAAAGTGAGTAACTCGTTTCTGTCTTATAACCATAAAAATGGTGATAAAATCTTCTTTTTATATATGAATTTAGAGTTTTTAATAATGTGTATTGTATTTTCCAGATTTTGTCAGATACCGTCATGCCACCTACTCGCCGAAGTCATTCCAGAAATCACCATAAAAAATATGATCGCGAACATGACTCCAAACGATCTCCGGAAAATGGCCGACGCTCAGACAGGTATTATTTATTTTCTGATTACTAATAAATAAGATTAAAAATAAAAGTAATATTTAAAAGAGTACAAAAATTTAAAAATATTAAATTTAAGAAAAAAAAATACTACAATACAAAATAATAATCAATAATTTACCTTTTCAGAATTATTGATTTAAACAAAATGGAAGCCCCGTATATGTCAAGCCGAGATATCAAAGATCACTACAAACGCGACTCCTACTCCCTGCAATTACGAAACGATTTTGACGACAACCCCGTGGAAAAACTCACTAACAAGGACGACTGCGCTAGACTGTTCGAATTCGATAACGATGCCCCTCTTATTATGGAAAACAAGGATTACAGAGAAATCGTAGGTCTTAATAGAGGAACGGACGACTCACGACGTACATTTGTGAAACCAGAAAGCCCCGATTATATGCACGACTCCGGAATCGGTAACTATATATTTCTACTAGCATTGCCCGCGGTTCCGCCCGCGTTCAGATGACCAGAAACCAAATTCTTAGATTTTACATATTAGTATACTCTTACATTGCAGTTTTTGTATTTTTTCTCAGAAATGAGACATGTTCCCGCGGTAAAATATATGTTGATCCGGATAACCAGCTATCACCATACCAAATTTCATCAAAATCCGTCCAGTGGTTTTTCTCTGATGCGGTAACAGACAGACAGACAGACAGACAAAAATTCTAAAAACTATAGATTCGGCCTCTGTATCGATACTAATGTCTATTTCAATAAGATTTTCCAAAAAATATTTAATGTACAGATTCGGCTTAGTTACAATTTTATTATATGTATAGATATCTTAAAATAATAACGAAAAGTTTAGTAATAAACGATAAAATTATTATGTTTCTTCCAGGCTTACCAGAAGTGCAAATGAGACATAAGCCTAAGAATAAGGAATCAAACGCTAAGGGTGACTTCGTCGAACCGACTGCTCCAAACAAAGGTAGATAATTAGTTCGTAGAGAAAAAAATTATAGACTTGTTTCTCTTCTCTAATCTTAGACCTAATAACTTATTAAAATAAATAATATATCTATATCATATATGTGTACATATATCTATCAGTGTGTATAATATTTATATGTAACTAGGGACACCCTCGCCCCGCTCCGGGTTCGTCCCTACTTACGTTTTAACGTTTAGTATACTTTTCTCAAAGATGAGCTATTTTCCCGCAGTAAAAAGTATCCTATATGTTGACCTGGATAACTAGCTATTATCAAACTAAATTTCATCAAAATCCCTCCAGTGGTTTTTGTGTGATGCGGTAACAAACAGACAGATAGACAGATAAAAATTCTAAAAACTATAGATTCGGCCTCTGTATCGATAATAATGTCTATTTCAAATGTGTTATTCCAGACTATAATCTATTTATATCTGTGCCAAATTTCATTCAGATCCGTTCAACCGTTCTGGCGTGAAAGAGTAACTAACATCAATACATACAAACTTTCACATTTATAATATTAATACGGATGAAATGATATGGGATTCAGAATATTTGGTATATCAGGAAGCAATTCCCCAGAGGTGAAGCGCGCGACGATAGTCGGCAACCCGATGTACTCCCGCGGCGAGGACGGCGAGCCCGCGGTGGAGACGCTCGGCCTCGACGACCTGCACATGGACTACGATCAGATCATGCACTATTTCCACAACCTCAAGGTATAATCGCCACCACCGTCCCACCATGCTTCTAGTGTAGACGTTGCTGACGCTTGCATCGATACGTTCGAGCACCGGCCACGGAAACTTCTATCATATCCCTTGTAATTCGATGTTCGATGTACTTACTCTCTTATGAATAGAGCCTGAATTTTGATGCATTTAATAAGAAAGTTAGTATAGTATTTTGTATAGATACGTTTTATACGATTATTATAATATATATAAAACGTGCAGTATTATAGCTCTATATAGGTAAGATCCACGATATATACTTCTTGGATTTAGTCATAGCAGTAATTATTTATATGCAAGGCCTTTCAACTTTACACTTACGATTCACTTTGACGTTTTTATAACCATTCATTTATTTTCCATTCAGTAGTCGGCTAGTCAGCTAAATCTCTCACTAGTTCATAGATAACATATAGAGTTTCACATATGTAATACGAACGTAATACAATTCGCTGCAGAAATGTGACTGATGTCTATTTTCAAATTTTTCGCAGGAATCGAACGCCTGAGTAGAGCAGATCATTGCAAAGATCCGGCAGATATTGTCTACGTTTAATTATCAGCATATCACCAAAGCTCCAATGGACGTATTCAATGCACCCACTGATTCAGCCGGGGTGGCCGGGCTCGAGGATAGTACTGTTGACACTCGTACCAACTCACTCTCCAACTCCTCTCCATACGATGCGCACATTTACGAAAACGTGTACAACGGTAATGTCGCACCCACAAAAATGCTATGCGACTCAATCGCGCATAAAAATAATTTCATGAAACGCCAATTGAAATTCTTGTTGGAGCGCCTGAGCGAGTCTTACGAATAAACTTGTCTGTCAAAGTATTATCCTCACACAATATGTGTCCGAAAGTGGATCCTTGCAGTGATCGTTAAATATAAACAATATGACTTTTATACCTATTTAGCGTTAAACGTATACTCTAGTCATCTACAAAAGTTGCACTTCCGCACGGCTCTTGGGTAACTTGGGTCGACGTGTAACATGTAGTTTATAATACTCACATGTCAATGAATCTAATACTGTAGATAATGAATTACGCGCGATGATTTTATTTGTAAATTGACATAATATATAGTTATTCTATTCACGATGTAGTCGATTCGTCAGAGCGATATGAAACTTAATATAAATAATTATACAATATTAATTTAATTTTCAACACGTTGTTATTCCAATTTAAATATTACCTTTGCATTGTCCTAGATATGTAAATATTTTCCACTAGACAGTAAAAACGCTACCTCACTTATTATATATACATATTATGTCTTAGCTTAGCCAATATCTATAACGCAAGCAAAATGTACAATTGGAGCTAAAACATACATTTTAAAGTATTATGAAGATACGATAGTTGTTTGTGGATCGCAGATAGTAACCATGTTGATGTCGTCCGTTTGATTTTCTATCGTTTTTTAAAAACAAAGAAAGGTCTATAGATATTAAGACTGCAAAAATGCCAGTGTTAGGAATATTTCATATTATTAAGTATTACATAGCATAAGACGGTACTAGTCAAATATTATAATTATGGGCTAATTTTATTTGCTCCAACTATAAATACATCATATAGTCAATCCAGATTGTTAATATATTCTTTTTATTTAATGTTCCTTGTAATTTACCACCGCAAACCGATACTTGTAATTTAAAATATTATAACAAATTCATCTGTTCACCTCGGCCTACGTAAATGTATTTTCGAGTTACTTAGATGTGCAAATCTGGAATCGCATAAACAATGATTCGACAGAAGAATAATTATTATAATGTGATAACTGACTGCTAAGATTGATTTAACGCAGTCGTCTTTATAAATAAAAAAGCCATATCATATGAAATGTAGCGCTTGTACTATATTATATTACGTAAACACTATTAATAATTTATTGAAGGTGTACATTGCATTTACTCGTAAGATAGTTTTTTAGGCTTTGTAAATATTGTTATGACGTTATATAATTTATAGTTACTTGTGTGGAAAGGATGGGGCATAGAGTAAATAAATGTGGTAGAGTCGCTTCATATACTATCGACGGAGTAGTTGCACTCAATTATAAAAAAATAATTCATGTCTGTTACAAAATATACACTGAATAGTAATTGTTTTATCTTGTAATTGTATTAATGTGTCCTTGGTTATGAGTAAAGGAAGGGATGGTCGGAAATATTTATTAGAAAATAAGTCGAGCAGTGGAAAGTTCTTTTGATATCGCTATATGTATTAAATCTTTAACATTGGGCTTAAAATTATTGTAAACTTGTTATTCCATAGCAATGTTGTACAACTTGATATTCCGTAAGATACAAATAGTGTTGCTTTTGTCGTTAGGTTAGAGACGAGTCACAGGACTAACTACATTATTCCGTAGTACATATTTGTTACTGTCATTTGTTTTTGTTGAGTTTTGCCGTATTATATAAAAAGAGGAGTTTATCAATAATTAACGCTACAACATTTTAACATGTACGCAAACTGAGGCTTGTCACGAAAATCCTTAATAAGATGTCAAATATAATAAAAACTTATTAAACGTGTTGGACTTTTAATGCTGTGATTTAAATCCCTTTCAATTATTTTATTGAACATACCTATACATTAAAAATTATATTACAAGTTGGATCACATAAAAGGATCCTCCTTAAGAGTTGAGAATACCTAATCATTTTTAATTACAATTTTCCTTTACGTCGTTACCGAATACAAGAGATTCTACGCTTATGTGTCGGGGCTTTATAAATATTAAATTATAAATATTTAAGATGTTAAATTTTTACATTATAACAATTATCCTACTTATACCTATTATAAACAGCGAAAGTATATGAAGATGGATGAATGTATGAATCTCTTTCACACAAAAACTACTAAACGGATTTTCATGAAACTTTACAGTAATAAAGCTTATTATATCACATTAACGCATAATGTATGTTAAAGATATATATGATCAATATGAAATATTGTAAAATTCATCCTGCATTCGAATATTTTTATTTTAACAATTTTTAACCTTAATAAACAATTCATAAAAAGTAAAAGCGGCATCTGTGATACACTACAAACCCATAATCTGATTGCTGTTATATCTATAATCAGTAAAATTACGCATATTTGATTTACGGGCGCATTATTAAAAAAAATTTAAATAATTATACACCTTTTAGGATCTATTTTTTTATCTTTTGTTTATTTTACAACTTAAATAAATCAATACACAAAAGGTTATCTATTAACATTTATTTCAACTATTTTTTCTTTCTTAGTGATGAGACCCCATGGTTAAATCAAATTTTATGATGAAATAAATGTTAGTCCTGTAAAAGTTGTCTAAAAGATATTGAGATTCAATTATCACTGAAAACAATCTTAATTTTATCTTTTTCTCAAGTTAGGAATCTGATAATATGTATATGTAATAACAGGAATAGAGTGCACTTGTGTATACACTTGTGCATTATAATATCTCCTGCGCAGTTGGCTAGTCTCAATGAGATTGGCCGCCGTAGCCGGAATCGGCTAGGAGAACATCATCATCATATTTGTTTCAAAAAACCTAATAAAATATCCTCAATAATAAGTTTTTTAAAAAGCTGTCTAAATAACAAAATAAACATAAACATTAAATGTCTTTATTTTGAAAATTAATTAGCTACTAAACAATTTAAACAATAATATAATAATAAATTAAATATATTTCCCACACCATTTGTGGTCATATTTAGAGAGGAACTTGTGACATCCACCCATGTTATTTTGTATAATATACTTCATAGTGTACTTATTTAGGTTATTTTCTTCTTTCCATTTTTCATCTGCTGCTTTTTTCTCCATAATCTCCTGTGATACTGGCTCTGCTTTAAAAGGCAATCTTTCTGACACTATTCTTAAGAGATCATATACCTGTTAACATTTTTTTTAAATATAAAACTAATGTTTATGAAATAAAATATTGCTGCTCGAAAACTAATAAATATATTGAACATTCATCACTATATTTCAAATAGTTTAGATTAATGAAATGGAATGAAATCAAGCGCGGATCCAGGGGTGGGGTGGGGTCATGGGGGTCATGACCCCTCCCCAAAGCCAAATATACTTTTTTGAGAAGTTTGAAGTCTAAGAAAAGAAGGAATAATACAATTTTTTTAAGTACCTAATTCGAAACAAATTAAGTTTTTATTCGTTATTAAGTTTTTCTTAATTTAAATAGCGCTATAGTCTAGCTCTAGTCCGATCGCGATGTGCTACACAAAAAATTGAAACCAGAAGTTTTATGTTTTTAAGACGTTTATAGCAAACAAGACAAGTTGACAAATGTTTTTTTTTCAATTTCTGGCTTGTTGTGTGTTTGTCTTATCGAAAAATATTATTTAAAAAATTTGTAGGTCTAGTAAAAATCTACGACTATTACAATAGCCTCAAAGTTTTCGACATATTTCCAACGAAAAAAAAACGATTTTTACTTTTTTCTTGTTCCTTTTGAATAATTTTTAATGTCTGCAAAAATTTTTTGATATTCATGAAACTAGAGGAATATAATCTACAAAATACATATAATAACCAATTTTTTGAAATTAAAATGTTCAGTTATTTATTTTATTATATGTACATTTCAAGATCTGACTACCCCCAACTCCCCTCATTTAAATGTAGATCTGCGCCTGGTCTCAATTGTTTTTTTAAATATTTAATGTACAGATTTTGCTAAGTTACTGTTTTATTATATGTATATTTCAGCCTATGACCAAAAAATTTAACTCTGGATCCACGCCTGAATGAAATATACTTTATTCAATTAGACTTATTACAAGCACTTTTGAATCGTCAATTTAATTGTTACACACAACAAATGTCAATTCATTTGTTTTGATAACTGATAGTGAATGGACAGTAGGTGTAATACTAAATATTTTTTTCATATTTCATGAACATATAAATAGATGGTGCACCACTATTAGGGAAATTTACTTATTTACTACTTACTAGACAAAACCAATAGAGTAGTAGGTGGGTTTTATAAGTCCAGTAATCAACTACAATAGTATGAAAAAGAAATATAAAAGTAATAATACCTCTGCATATTCACATTTGCCACCAACTTCAAATATGATTCTGCCAGCCTTTATAGGAGTAACATAATGGTCAATGGCTCCTTTTCCACCACCCATACGCTGCCCTTGACCTTTCTTCGTAACAGGCTGCCATGGAGGATCCACTCTCCAAATAGCAAACATCCTCTTCATATCTATCCTCCTGGCAACTTGGAGACGAACCATTTCAAAATGTTCATGTCGTAATCTACCACCACCTGTAGCCTATCAAAAACTATAATTATATTTTTGCCTTGAAAAATATATGTTCTTTACATCATGCATACTACCTATTTGCTTTAACTGCTTCATGCTAAAAAAACTTATAAGGTTTGAAGAAGTCAAGACCTGCCTGTCTATAAAGATAATTTTCATAAGTGGCCATGCTGGGTCATTACACCATACAAATTTGCTCAATGTCCTTTAACGATGACTTCAAATTCTGTTAGAAAATGATACTTACCACTACACCATATTGTTTCAGTTGTAAAGTATTATGTAAAGTTTCTGGTCCCCTCATATAACGAAGGCGTTTTTGCATTTTAGGTGGTTTTAGGTTTGGGGGGTAAAGTGGCACTTTGTCAAATATTCTAAGCCTTGGACGTTCTGGTATCTCAATATCTATAAATAAAATATTGCTATAATTAATTTACTTATAAGGTAAATTTGTATAGAAAATTTAGTATTAAACTACAAACGGTAATAAAATTATTTATATTATTGGAAAATATAGCCATTACCATCATAGTTTTTTGGTGGAGGGAAATATTTTATTCCCGAATTTAGTGTTAACTGTAACTTTTCTGGCCGCAATAAGCCTGAAAAAATCAAATAATTATCATTATCTAGAAACTAAACACTATAAAATGAACTTGAGTAAAAGGTTAAGTACTTATTGAAAGTTTAATAGTTCTTGGAAACATTTTAATAAATTTTTTTTACTGTTGTTGATCAAATAATTTCATAAAATTTTTGAGGTTATATAACTGTCACTTGTCAATTGTCATTTAATAAATTAAAAGTACAGATTATATATGGAACTTCCAACTTGCAACAATACTAAACTCAGAAATTGAGATAGAAATTAGAAAGTTAGTACGTTAACACAAACATAGGATAGGACGATGACCTTTTTGTTAGATTGTTTTTATTGAAGGAATAATAATACCCGCAGAGCAGCTTGTGGCGAGCTGTTGGTGAGTGGTGACACCACGGATTCATGGAGTCGTGCCCATCGGTCCCCCGCTTCTTTCTAGCTTTCATTGGTCATCCAGTGGAGCGCAAGAGCCATAATTTCGAGCACTTGCTCGAAAGTATAGAAATGTTAAATATATATAATAAAGGGGAAACCCACTACCGAGCACTCTCGCAATGGTGAAACTGGTGCACACCTCTCGACACCCTTAACCGAGCACGCTGATGTTGCGCCCTTGGCACTATGCCTAATATACTAAGAGTAAGGTATTTGTACTGATATAGGTACTAAGATTTATACCGATATAACGTATGCTTTTTACTAAGGAATTTATTTACTTCGGTCAATTAATTACTGGTTTTACAAAATTTCTGTTAGGTACATCGATCACTAATAAGTTCTTTATTACTGATCGATGGTTAGGTAATATCTTATTAAATAAAAAATACATTGCGTGTTAATTATTAAATCACAGTTAATATTTTAACAAACTAATAACATAGCAGGTGACATCACTAAATAAAAAATATAAAGTTTTTACATTTGATTGCTATGACAACGAAGAAATGCATCATAATAAATGTCTAAAAATGCAAAATTTTGTAATTGTTTATATTAGAATTTAGGGATAACAAAAGAATTTATTATTATGGAATATAAAATAACATTACGATTGCAAAAGTGTTTATACTTTAATGTTTACTTGTACGTTGTTTGGGTTATGGTTACTAGTTTTTTCTTATACGTCAAGGTGCATAGATATTATTTTAATTTGTGGTATAATGATATTCGGTAAAGTATTTAATTTATTATGGTATTTTTTAACAGTTTGGAAATCTTGAACATCTTTCAAAATATTTATCGATCACAGTATTTACCTTGTTGACTGTAATAGAGTCTATAAGACTCTACCTAGGCCAATATGGAAATTTATTATGTCGGGTAAGTACCTAGATACACTTACATTTTTACCTATATTTTTCCTTTTGTGTTTATTTTAAGTTTCTATTTTTTATTTTCAGGTCCCAGAACTTGCAGGCTTTATAATGCTAACGGTGTTAATGCAAATGCCACTGGTTACTTTTTTTTTACTTAACCCATACTTAGAAAACACACCAACAGAAATTATTTTACATGCAGCTCTATGCGGTATAACAGTTGCTGAAATTATATATAGTTTCTTAGCTTTAAAACATGCGTCTTCTGTAGCAAAAAATATGTATTTATCTCATCCTAGAGGCATGAATGTAAAACGATGAGTTTGTTAAAAATATTCAATTCCAAATATTTAATGAATTTTGTATACTTATAATATAGGTAAATAATATTATATTAAAGTGTAATCGTTAAGATGTATCTAACTGTGTCTGTTGGACTTTCTTAGTGCTGTCACGAGTTCGATTTTCGTATAGGATAAAATATGTTTGAATTGACCGAACCGATGCAAAGTGCTTTGAAAATAGCCGGTTCAGAAGCATTGACCTTGAATAGGTATTTCAACTTTATTAAAGGCTCAATGAATATTTCAACTTTATTTATATTTTTATTAAAATATAAATAAAGTTAAAGCTATTGCTTCGCGACTCTTGTAGATATATATTCAATAGTTGTACGTAGTTTATAGTTATTAACAACCCGCTTTATGTGGTGTAGAAGTGCGTACAACAGTGATCTATGATCATAATTAGAGGTGGCTCTAGCCCATATAGCGCCCGTGTGCAATCAATATCCTGGCGCCCTCTAGAACCAAAGTAGGTACGGAGCCAAATACAATTTTTAAAACTCTCCATACGCTTGGTATTAGTCAAATGTTTGTGTACCGGGCTATTAATAGGTACAATGAAACCTTCTGTTTGTGACAGAAAAAGATCTGGCCGGTCCGTCATCGTGTTTGACGTGATCAACACACAATTCTTGAGCCTCTCGGTTTTAAATTATTTTATCATTGTGGAAATAGTAGTAATAATTAATTAGTTGTACTATATATTAGTTATTGTAAATATTTTAAGTGTATACATAGAAGATATTGTGGTAAGTTTTTAGTTTTAGATTTGTATTTTTTAAATTTCCTTCTACGTGACAAGCCAAATATGGAAAAAAAAACACAATCGGAGCCTCCGGATCCAGGCGAAATTTTTTATATGCCGGAGACAGAATTACTTTCATCTAGTTCCTTGACTAGAAAACGCTCTGGAATACAACAAAATATAGGCTTAAACAAAAAAACGACCATTGATCCTTCGACAGTTAACCCCTCTATTCAAACAGTTTATCTGAACCCCGCATTCAACGAATTAATTAATTGTTATTCTGACTCTGACATCGGACCTTTCATTATCCAAGTTGCAAGAGAAGAACCAGACCCGTCTGCAGGACTACCTATTCGCGCAATCAATTTGGTAAATTTCTTTTTAAAAATAAATTTCAAGATATTGTCAAAGATGGAGTCAAAAGTATAATTGGCCGTAATAAAATTAGTGACTAATTCTAATCCGCCACATCTGCTATAGTTTGTCCATTAACCATTTTATTAATAGTTTTTTGACAGCTTACGCCCATGAAGTTTCGTATGGTTTTAGTTAAAATTTCATACAAATAATCAACGAACTAAAAACATATTTTTATTTCGTTGCAAATAATATTGTACTTCATGGACGGGTACCGCCCCCTTATTGATGTGCCACACATAGCGATTACTACGATTGTGCCACAGATTGCAAATAATCGGTAGAAATAAATTCTTATATGTAAATAAGGTGTAATAATATTTTATTTAATCTGGAAGACAACAAAATTTTAAGGATGAAACAGACCTACCCTACCCCAGCCTGCAAATTTATGATATTCGCAATGAAAAAAATACTAATCGATAGATTTTTAATAGCTCAATTCAACTACGTAGCCCTTCCAAATTGCTCACCATTAATTATAAAATTAAAAATCAATAAAGTCCTTGAAAAAAAATTAATTTATCCGTATATTCAAATTTCTATATCTTTTGATATATACAATATTTTAAATTGCTCAAAGTTCTAAAATACTGCTCAAGTTGCATTTGTAATTGCTCAAGTAGAGTTCTCACCAGCTCCACTTTCCTTAATTATTAAATAAATATAAATAGTTTGAATAAATTTAACGTAACGGAATCACGTAATGTGAACAATTCATAAATTCAATAAATTTAAAGAAATCCACCGAGAAACAGAATTAAGACGTTGAATTGGAACGATTGTCCAAGCCCGCCGAGGCCAACCGACAATGCGCGGTGCGCATGCGCACGCTCACTTAACCTACGTTACATTTATTACAACTATACTTTTAATTATTTAATAATCAGCGAAAGTGGAGCTGGTAAAAACTCTACTTGAGCAATTACAAATGCAACTTGAGCAGTGTTTTAGAACTTTGAGCAATTTGAAATATTGTATACATCAAAAGATATAGGAGTTTGAATATACAGATAAATTAATTTTTTTTCAAAGACTTTATTGATTTTTAATTAAATAATTAAAGGTGAGCAATTTGAAAGGGCTACGTAGTTAAATTGAGCTATTGAAAATCTATCGAGTAGTATTTTTTTCATTGCAAATATCATAAATTTGCAGGCTGGGGTAGGGTAGGTATGAAACAGAGAAGAATAAAGAAAAAAAAGAAAAACGAGAGACAGATTATACAGTCGGTCGGTTGATGTTGCCAGTTGACGTATATATAATTTTTACAATTATAATATTTATTTTCATATTATTAATAAATAACTTTGGAGCATCTTCTTTAAGAATAAGCTGGACTGGATAATGGAAAGTAGAGAAATCCTCTCAAAGTCACAATTTGGTTTTCGAAAGGGTATGGGCAATTGGCAGTTTTAGTATTCTTATATCGGAAATAAGTTTAAGTTTTTTAAGAGGAGAATACCTCATGGGGTTCTTCCGCTTCTGAAATCTAAAATACTTTACATAAATTTACCGCCAAAATTAACTAATTTTATTTTTAATCTTTTTATTGGAAGATCGATTCGAGTGAGATATCAGGGTGAACTTCTTCCCCCCTAGAACAATTTGGAAGAGTTTATCACAAAGTTCAGTTCTTAGTCCTATTTTCTATAGCTTTTACACTCATGATCTTGATGAATCTGTTGATAGTTTTTGTAATATTTTGCAATATGCGGATGATATTGTTTTACTTTATAGCTCAAAGAATATGACTGAAATTGTGTCTAGATTAAACTTTGCTTTGCATTATCTGGGAGAATGGCTGCACTCACATGGTTTACTTTTGTCAGTTTCGAAAAGTAGTGTAGTTATTTTCACTAGGAAGAGACGTATTCCAGATGTTAACATTTTATAAGAGGAACAAAACATTCCTGTTCTAAATTCTGTAAAATTTTTAGGTATTTTTCTAGACTCTAAATTATCAGGTACTTCTAATATAGTTTACATCTCCATAAAATGTGAAAAGAACATTCAAATTTTACGTGAATTATCAGGAGTGTGGGGGGATTCCCATCAATGTTTTTCAAAATTTTTATATAACGCTATTATTTGTAGCCATTTTGATTATGGAGTATTTCTGATGCAATAAAACAGCACTAGATAAATTAAACAAAATCCAATATACAAGGCACTAAAAATAATATTAGGTGCCATGAAATCATCGCCAACAAATGCTATTCAGGTTGAGCGTGTAGAGCCTCCACTTCATCTTCGCAGACAATATCTTTCTGGATCACTTTATTTCGAAAGTTCTTCATGTCATCCGTTATTATGTTCCTTTAATCATTTATTACCAATTATTAAACCTAATCAACAAATTTCGTGTATTCTTAAAAGTTTCCAAAAAAATTCAGAGCTTCCTGCGCCTATTTTTATTAGCTTACCTTTGTTCCTTCAATTATAACGAATCTGGGAATTGGCAAAGATGAGCCTGGGGCCAATGTTAAATTTTAGAGTATTTTTGATAATGATTGGTCTGATTATATTAAAATATTGACTGATGAATCCAAAATTAGTTGTGAGTCTTGTGTTGGGGCTGCCTGCTGGGTCCCACGATTTAATATACCTATTACTCAATTTTAATTGTCCCCCTGAAGCCTCTGCTTTTTCGGGAGACTGTATATCTCTGCTTGAAGCCATTTTATTTGCAGAATCGCATAAAATGTCAAAAGTCATTTATCTTCACAGATTCTTTAAGTTCCCTTCAGAGTATCTTGCAAAAACCTTTCCGCAGTAAATCAAGGTTTGTTATTATATTTAAAATTAGAGGAGTTCTCTTTCGTTGCCATATGAACAATGCCTGTAAATAGTTACTGCTAGTCAAAGTCACCCATCAATTCCAAATAAATGGCCTTCGTAGTAAAGCACACGAATGTAACTACATATATACAATATTTTACATCTGCGACCTTGACGACTAGCTGACGAAATGGGTCCTGCATAATCGACCCCAACGTTCTCGTAACGCTCTCGTCACGCTTTCACCAGATTACGCCCCAAATCAAGCGTAGGAAAAAAAATACTTAAAAAATATTTCATGTACTATATATTATTTCGCACAATTTTATTATATTATGTATAGACATAAACGCTAAAGTTATTGTGCATTTTTGTTACCTCTTGACACCGTAACCATTAAATAAACAAATTGAAGATTAAAATCTAGCCTCAAGCCACGTAACCCATGGTAAGGCGGGGTCAGTGGGAGTTCTATTTATACTGATCCATCCAGTTTTTTTCTAATGTTTAATTTGAGAACGTCTCGCTATTTGATATTTTTTAAAATGTGTTTTAAGCACGACAAAACCGATGTTTGAAATTTAGCAGAGATTAGAGATAACTTGAATTTTGATTTGATTGATATACTATTTTGTGCATTAGCTGTACTATTAGTAACGAGTTTAATAGCCACTTGACCATCCATCGTTAGATCTTAGTATCCTAGGTTATATCTCCTAGGATCTATGTATAGAACAAGAATTCCTCATAGGAATAGCTAGGTTTAGATAGTCTTCGATGTAGCGTTATTTAAAAATCTCTCGTTTATTCACCTTAACGCAGACAAAGTGTAGATATGACTAAATAGCGTTACAAATTAAAAAAAAACTTAGGATAATTCTTTATTTTAAAGCTTTTCACATTGGTAAAAATTATAATAGACATGATAATGTTATAATTAGATTTTGTTTAAATTAAATGGTAGCATCAATTATCGCTTTCTTATAAAATATGGTCATTGTTAATGATTACAAAAATATATCACATAGAATTTTGTAAACAAAATAATTTAAAAGCACTTTGGTATTTCTATTAATTATAAATATTAATATAATATAATTTAAATACAAATTTGCTATAGGACAGGAGCACAGGACCCAAGAGAAAGAATATCGACAGCACCGCTTATAGTTAACTACTATTGCCAATTCTCGCTTATGCTAAATAGAATTAAATACTTTTATATTATTATGTAATAAAATATGTACTATGTATTCTTAACACATTTTATAGTACTCCTTTTAAGTTTTTATTGTTAATAATATTTTGTAATATATACCCACTAAAATATTTTAACTCAGGTTTATTTTATATTTTTGAACAATACGAAATTTAGAACTTTTGTGCAGAACTAGAAGCAAAAATTATACTTTAAGTAAGATATAATATTAATAAATGATAATATACATTTGAAAATAGCAATAGAAACTCCCGTTTTCTAACACTTTAGAGACTACTTCATATTTAATATGACTTATCACATACATCTTAGTGTTTCTGACTTTTTTAACAAAAAAGCTTTTAATTAAGTGATACCATATACTAAAATATAACTAATCACTATACAGAAACCATTTCCAATTTTAAAATACCCCAAAAGAAATTCTGAAACATGTTCTATGCGTAAATAACTTTACATTTTTCTACAGTTAGCTTTAAATATATACAGTTTTAAATAATTTAACTTAGTTTAGTGATCTATAAATAAGTTATGAGTTACAAAAAAGCTATCTATTTGGCATCTCACTGAATGCAAAGTTGTATTAAAACTTGCAAGCGTTGATTTAAATGTTTCAAGATCACTTTCCATTTCTAAAGATTTTATTATTTGAGGAAGTGTTGGTGACATCTTGCAGATAATCTGTAAAATGGGAAAATATTTTTTATATAAACATGTAATAATTGATTATTATCTATATAACATTTATAATATTATTTTTTTATTAGAAGTAATATATGTATCTTTTCAGTTTAGTGGTAAAATCAAAGGAAGTTTAATCTTAAGATGTGTGTTAATAACAACTATTAATATACAAGTATCATAGGTAGTTTTGTTTCAAGGAAAATAGTAAAGAATTTGTCAGAAATATAAAACTATGTACTAGTGACTTGCTCTATCTTCGCTCGGGTGCGTCCCAAGGTACGTCTTAATTATTTTGAGCGGAACCCTAATTCTTTTTCTAAAATAAAAATAACCTATGTCACTCCTTATAACTCAGCTATCTGCCAATGAATATCCCGTCAAAATCAGTCCAGTTTCGGAGATTACCCGGGACAAACAAACAGACAAACATTTTAAAAGCTGTGTTTTTCGTATAGGAAGCGAATATAAACTATAATTTTAAAAAGCTGTTATTTTGACATTACAATAAGACACTTCCATTATATTTATCTGTTTAGATTACAGGGTGTATATACATTATAATGTATATAGATTTATATAATCACATACAGAAAAACATAAATAATAAACGTGTATGTGTGTACATATGTACGCACGATAGAAGTTATACTTCTTTGGCGGAACAGAACAAAAACAGCTAAAGATTTCATCCCGTATGTCACAACTCCCTGTTTGTAAAAAGAATGCATCTAACTTCATCATGTCGTGTTTTGGCTGTCGGTGTGCGCGCGCATCGTACAAATTTTACTCTCATATTTTTTTCCTAACGTGCTAAAAGAAGTATAACTTCAAAAATCACGATTAGTAATCTCGGTACAATATACTGATAAGACATAATACTATACCACCCTATCTACAGGATAGTAACCATTATGGCTTTCATTTACATAGTATTTTTTTATTTATAGAAAAAAATGAGGTTTATGGTGGCACATCTTTTTCTCTAAGCCATTCCTCGTGGATCAAGATCCGGCTGCAAGATTGCTACGTTCATAACGTAATTAACCAAAATCATTTTTTTATATACAATATTATTATTGAGGAAATGCAAGATAAGAAGGTAAGAATATTATTTATTTATATATATATCAATTCAAATATATATATATATATATATATATATATTATATATAATTTTTCAGATAATAACAACGGTTACCATGGCAACAAACAGTTAACTAACGCGTCAACTCTCTTTCACTTTAATCTATCTTTAACAGCTTAAGGGTTACTACCCTTATTTGCGGCCACTTTTACATAGGCAGACATAGTTTATCGGGTACAGAAAAAAATTAGCTTCTATTTTATATATAGATAATGAATATGTACCACAAACGTATAAATGTAACAAAATGACCTGCTTACACCTGGCTGCAAAGAGGTTGTAGCCAATTTTAATAATAAGTGCATCAATTTTGTTATAAAAAGTCAATTATTATTAATTTAATTAAACATACTAGCAGGCACATTTCAATTGGCACCCCGGTATTGTATAAAAATTTATTTTGATTAAATGCGCTATGAGCGTAGCAGTCTTGCAGCCAGATCTTGGTCCACTGAATTTAACATAGTAGTAGTAGTTTATTTTATATAATATAACATAAACTAGAAATAGAAGTAAGTTTTTGCTTAGTGCCTCTATTTAAATAATATTATTTACCAAGTAAATATTAAACTTTGTTCTTTAAGTTTACATTGGATTTTACTTGTTAGTCCAGTAATATTATAATAATGCAAGTGTGATTCTTAGTCCTTATTTCATGCAGCATTAGATGTGATTTGCACATGATATAATGAAAAGATAATATGTGGATTTGGAAATTGACATAGGCTTTTATCTCAGTAAATAAAGTGCTCTCATAGAATATTTATACCCAGAAATGTATTGAAGCAAATTAAAAGTAGCTCACCTTTAATTTGCTTTTGTACAGTAATAAGTCTCAAATTTAGTTTACGCATACTCACTGTAAACAGTTGCTGTGTAATCCAGCCATGATATTTTTTGACTGAACCTTCATATGCCAATGTAAATATTTTTTTCATGCAAATATAAGAGTCATCTTTTTTAAGATTCAAATCGATTTCTTGAAAGACCAACTCAAAAAACAGCAATGCTCTATAAACAAAGTTATACTTTTTAATTATTTTGTGTGAAAAGTTGAAGATCCAAGATAAATGGTCCTTCCCCCTCTACATATTAAGAATTTACCTGTTTAGCCACAAAATTCCTTCAATAGCATTTTTTTCTCCCTTTGAATATTCATCATTCATTAATTCAAGTAAACAGGAACTCTCATCATATTTGTAAAATTTTCTTATTTTCTATAAAAAAAACCACAAATATTAAACATATTATTACTATTTTCTTTAAAAAAAGCATAAATATTACACATTTACCTACCTCAATATTACCTTCCATATCATATTTGACTGGTGCAAATACTTTTCCAAGATGTTCTGTAAAAAAAATTAATCTTATTTATAGTGACTAATTTTATTTATCTTTAGTATGTATATCTTTACTTACCCACTAGCCTTATTAAATCTGAAGTAGCCTCTAAAAATTTAACCAAATTTATTTTTCCATTTGCGTATGGGAAAAGTTTGACATCCTGAAACCTAAAACTTTGTTCAGTTGTTCCTGTAGTACTTCCCATTTTTAAGCCTCAGGTTCTGAAAGCTGCTTAGTGCTTACATAAAAAGCCGCAATTACATGATTTAAGCATGAAGCGTTATCAATGCTTATCTTATTACATTCTTATCATTTGAAATGAGTTATAAAATTTATTAAAAAACCGGAAATTCGTTTTTGTTTTCTTGTCATAATTTATATTATGTAAACAATTTAACATACATTTCATTACATTAGAGGGAGTTCATAAACAAATATTTATTATTTGATTTAAAATAATTGAACGATAGGTTTATCAAATCAAAAAGATTAAATTAATTAAATAAATTGTAAATTGTAATGAAGATTGAGGTTTGACAATGTCAAAACTCAAATGTCACTTTCTCATCAATAACGTTTTGTAATTTGTTTGGTATATTTTGAGATTGACGTGAAGCGAAATTTTATTTTTTAAATAATAGCAATATATTTAAACACTGCCCTGTGTCACAATGTTACGTTTTTTTTAATTTTAAATCTTTCAGATTAACGTATAATAAAAATGTAATTTATTTCAGATGTTACAACATTCAAAATCAGGAATGCTAAATCGTTTATTAATAGGACAATCTCTCATAAGTCGTTCTAACGGGCGATGTTCTATTTTCTTTTCTGTTATTCTGAGACAATTTAATACTATTTTAGATTAATTTTAGAGTAATAAAAACTACAATACTTGCAGTATTAAAATGGTTAAATAAATGTACAACTTAATTAAAATTAGCTAATCATAAAACTCAATTGACTTTACATACGTACATAATATGTGTATATTATAAAATACTGCAACATATTATTATTAATACAGTTGTTAAGATAGTATATTATAAACTAGGTAGTTAACAATGATAATGATCTATATTATTAAAAATAACACGAGTAAGTTAAGTAAGTTTTTGCCGTTGCATTGTTATTTGGCTGATGAATTTAAATTTCAGAAGCAATTATTAAAGCGATATCTACAATTGGACTGAATAACATGTGAATTACGATGATTTTATGCGTGGGCATTATTTAAATGTTACACATTCATTTTCGAAATACAGGATAGATGGTTTAGTACGGTAAATAAATATTTGTTTTATGATAATTGTTTATAATTATTAATTCATAATAGTATTGCAGTATTATTAACCAATTGAAGTAAATTTAACAGATCATAATTCGTGGTTTTATAGCGATGGAACCCAATGCAGACTGCAGATTCAATTCCTGCTTAAGTAATTACTGTTTTCGTACACCTTTTTTTTGTAGGATTTGTCCATTGAACTTATCTATTTATCATATCTTGACTTACAAAAATGCTTTTTTAATCAACTTCCAATATTTTAACTTAAATATCTATTATCAAAGTTTTTATAAAATAATTAAGAAATGAATGCTATATATAATTACAAACGGAATTAATACGTGTCTTACAAAATTAAATAGACTTCAAACTTATGATTAACGGTATCAATCCTCGAACTAATAAACATATCAGTCTTTTTAGCTAATTACACTCGAAAACAATATTTAAAAAAATAAACTTTCATGTTTTAAGTCCCATCTCTTTGTCACATTTATGGTATGAAAATAGAGTATATTTCAGATTCGAAACAGTACTTTTAATTATTTAGTACATTATTACTATCACCATAACAGAATCTCAATAGGAAAATGTTTGTTTTAAAACATTACCTAAATCGTCTTCCACTACTATAGTTAACACTTTACTTTTGGGTGAAAAGGTAAACGGCACTAAAAATCTCTTTTCTGGGAGTAGATTTGTAAATTCATACGAATCTAAAACCATGCCATTAGATTCATCCCTCACTTCAACAATGCGTATACCTGCAGTAGATATTATCATCATTTTGTTTTTATCGAACTTTAAGTATCGGGTGATGGCTTGCCTCTCCCTACCATACTCATTATTAAACCATCGATGATACGATAATAGAACAGCACAATTCCTTGTCCAATAAATAGAATCATTATTGTTAGTTCTATTGAGAGCTTTCTTAGAGTCCGAAAGTTTGTTCGTTATAGTTGAATAAACACTCGATGGTCTTGTTATAGGTGTTACATTGGGACTTCGTCTTACGATGTCAGATTTTGACATAGAAGCAAAATTACCTAATGTGGTTTTACTTCGCGGACCTAAAACTCTTAATGGCTCTGCTACATTCATCGTTACATTTATATTACGCTGAAGAGAAACAGTAGAATGTTGCACTGGTTTTCCATTGTAATTGTTCATATTATCTTTTACAAGTGACGATCTCTTATCTCCTACTAGAAATACGCGATCAATATTATCAAAGCCTCTTCCCATTATGCCATCTTTTGTATGACCAAGATCAAATGTATGACCAAGTTCGTGAAATACAGAACCTAATGTGGTAGCATAGCATCCGCCTAGGGTCCCTCTATATCCACTGTCATCCATAAAACGACGTGAATTGACAGCGGTAACGTCTAAGAATCTTGGTACTATTTCCTCCACAGAAGTAGGCCATGTATACAAACAAGCTGTGCCAAATAATGCTAAGCCTCCTCCGCCTAATGCTGCGTACGCTTCAGTTATAGAAACAATTTCATCATGCGTCATAGGTTTATCTACATCTGTGCCTTTATATCTTGTACATGAAATAAAAGCAAGATATTTTCTCTCATTACTTCCTAAATCAGAAAGCATAATTTCTCTACCAAAATGCGTCCAAAGCTCACTTTGCCTCATTTTTCTGGCTTTATTTACATTTAAGCTACTTCGAAAAACAATGCATTCTGGTCTCTTTTGATTGACTTCATGTTCAAGTTGAAATGTTTTTCTTCCAAATCCACTCTCAAACAGTTTTTCAGCTGTCACGCTTTGTATTAATTTTGCACCGATAGATATTCGCGTACAAGCGCTTTCTATAGAATTGTCAACTTCAGGTGGACTTTGAAAACAGCCGTCGTGTCCCTGGCAAATTATGTACACAGGAGTAACTTTAAGATTAGTCTTCCTCGGTTCATAGTCTAGTAGTAGTGTTTTCTTTTGATGATTAGTGTAAAGGAAATCAATAATATTCTCGCCTTTTTTGAGTTCAATTATTGTTTTAAACTCTCTGTTGTACACTTCCCAATGTGTTTCATTCTCATTTCCGTTATTAGAAACTGTACATTTTATTTTATCTTTATTACTGCAAATTCCAGATGTTATTAATCCTTTAATAAGAACAAGAGAATAATTAACCGACTCGCCATTTTGAAAATTGGTAATAAATATGTCTGAGTGTTGTTCGTTTTTGTTTTCTTCATTCGTGCGGTTGTCCATTACCTGAAATTTTTATATATATACTTCACATTAAAAACTCAACCTATGCTGGCGGTTGCTGATTGACCTTGTTATTATTATTCTGTGCCAGTATAGGCTTCTCGATGTTATGATATAACTCTCTCATCACATAATTAGGTTAAGAGTTACTTTGCGCTGAGTCGAAACTTGTTACGTATTGATGATAATTTAGGTTCTCATTTTAATGCTTTTCATCACCGGCTAATATTCGTGCCGTATAAATATTTGTTGTACTAGTGGTCGTAAATGAATAGTTTCGCACTGAGCAATGACTCACCATGATGCGGTTAGTGTGGAGCGCACAGAACCGGCGCGGCGGGAGGACTGCGGCGCGGGTGGTGCGGCGGAGCGGTGCTACTCGCCGGTGTGCAGCGTCGGTTCTCCTCACTTCCCTCGCAGCCGAATGAGCAGACAGCCGTAGTGCGCATGTCAGACGATGCAGACCGACGCGCTTTGTAACGATTGCGACGCCCGCCGGAGGTATAGACTTGTTGTCTCCGGTGCCAAGAGGGAAATTTGAACGATGCGATGCAGCAAAAATAAACCTGAATGCGTCACATCTAAACAATTTATTAATATGTTGTTGTTTTTGTTCAAATTTTGTATATTATTCTTAGGGTTGGTTTATTAGAATATCAATAGTTATCACAATATTGTGGAAAAATGTATGTGTGTAGATTATAATTTAGCCGTTTCATGACTAGATTTTTTTGCTTACAATGTTTTTATATTGAAATATTTTTGATACGAATTAAAAAAAAACGAGTACCTACACAATCAATTTAGGTGCGTTTTTGTTTTGCTTTTTTTTCATGATTGTTTTTTAATGAAAAAGTTATACATTAAGGGTGTAAAATCTCTTGGGTTAGTGGTTTTTATTATAAGATAGGTAGTTTTAAAATAATAATTAAGTCGGTACACTTTATTAATTGTATTTTTAAAAAGAAATCTAATAGAACTATTTATTTTTTTACGTATTAATGTTTTTACATTATGACAGTTGTCAAAAAACTCAATCCCACATTCGTACTGTGGTTGGTGTTTTATTTTCTTGAAATTTACTTAGTTACGCCTAACAAATAATTATAGTGATTGTATTTTTAACCAGAATAGTAGACAATAAATTATAGTAAGAGAATTACACGAATGTTACGAAATCCCTAAGTATATTAATACTAGTGTACTAGGTATAACTAGGTACATTTTAACGGATAGGATGGGATAGATAGTCGATCCCATTGTCTGTGAATAACAAAAACAAATTTATATACACGGAAACCATATTTTTCCGGGATAAAAGTAACTATGTGCTATTCCAGACTACCTATAATCTATTTCTGTGTCAAATTTCATTCAGATCTGTTCAGCCGTGCTGTGATTGTGTAACAAACATCCGTCTATACAAACTTTCGCATTTATAATATTTATGGGATTAGACAGGCTTTTTATTAACATGATTTTATTTATGATTTAAGTTTTATATAATTTTTATCAGTTGCATTTCTACTTTTATTTTTAATATATCTATTATCTATTACAATTTGCTTCATACATGGTATTTATGATGCAAATTATGTTGAATACTAAGCCTATACCAAAATTTTTGTATACATAACAAACAAGGCGCTTTTTTAACTTTTTTATTTCTTGCCCGCAGGCGGTTATTTTCCTTGGCTTAAAGTGAAAATTATATCTACTTATTAATATGATATGCTTACGATAATAATTTGAATTACATATAATTTCATTAATCAAATCTTTTAACAATTTTTGTCGCAATATTCGAACCTATTACGGTACTAAATTAACAATTAATATGAATAACAAGTTAACTAGTTATTGAAAGTCATGCAAGCTAAGCATTGCGTTATTGTAAAAGTAAGTACTGTCAAGCACTTTTAAAACAAAATACTTCCCAGTAACGATATTCAGTTGATGTCGACTTATAGCAGTCATAAAATCATTTTTGACCGATATAAAAGAGGAGGTTTTCGTATACAGAATGTATACTTTTAAATAAAACTATCTTTTCGGATTTTTTCGCGGATTTATTTGGATATTTGGTTCCCGACGTTTCGAATGCTTTACAGCATTTATGGTCACGGGAGGGACTGAGGTGTTAGATGTCTCGAAGGTATAGTGGTTACAGACAGCCTACCCACAAATAACAAAATGAAAATTGCACCAATTAAACCTTACAATATTTTTTAAATTTTTAATTTTTTATAATTTTAATTAGTGTTATAATTGAATATGGAATATTATTTATTTAATTTTTGCTATTATTATTATAATTATTACAAGTTTAAAAATATTAATTCGTTATTTATATTTAGTGTTGCCATTATTATATTAATAACCATAAAGAAAAATATAAAATATAGTATTAATTATTTAAGCCATTTATTTGTTCTATGTGTAATTTAAAAAGTTAAATTTATTAAGGACTAGCATTGCCCGCGGCTCCGCATTCGGATGACCAAAAACCAAATTCTTAGGTTTTACATATTAGTATACTCTTACAATGCAGTTTTTGTATTTTTCTCAGAAATGAGATATTTTCCCGCGGTAAAAAGTATCCTATATGTTGACCCGGATAACCAGCTATCATCATACCAAATTTCATCAAAATATGTCCAGTGGTTTTCTCGTGATGCGGTAACAGACAGACAGACAGACAGACAAAAATTCTAAAAACTATAGATTCGGACTCTATATCGATAATAATGTCTATTTCAATAAGATTTTCCAAAAAATATCTAATGTACAGATTCGGCTTAGTTACAATTTTATTATATGTATATATAATAATTTTAATTTAATTTGCTATTATTTAAAAACACAAATTACTCAGCAACACTATTACTATACACTTTTACAATTACTTATATATATTTTTTTACTACATATTTTTCCCTTTGAAACAAAAAAAAATCCAAATCGCTACAGGCGTCTTCGAGTAATCGGTGAACATACATAAAAAAAAAGATTCCGACGAATTGATTACCTCCTCCTTTTTGGAAGTCGATTAATAAGAATGGCGCTTTATATATCTAACTTTAAAAAAAAAGGAGAAGGAAGGAGACTGTAAGCTTCAGGTGTACATAGCATTAGATTTTTAAAAATAACGTATCTAGATTAGCCTGTTAGTACGTTAATTAAAAAACCCATATTAGCCGAGTTACATGATTCTAAAGTCGTAAACATTGTATGCGATTGTATCATTGTATTCTCTTACTCTAACTTTAGAAAGATGGAGTAAAAAAATGTATGAAAAATATAGCGAGTGGAGCTTACTAAATACCTAAAATGAAAATTTATTTACAGAATGTGTATCCATGTTGAACACTTTTTAAGATAGTGGATATTTTGAGTTACGATCGCTAAAATTAGATTTGTTTTCCATATATCTCTAAAAAATAATAAAACACAAAATTATTTTTGCAAATATTAAAGTACGTGTAGCGAAAGAACTTATTTTATAGGGCCAATTTGATCGCGGCGAAGCCGCGGGTTCTGCCAGTCTATACATATAACAAAACTGTAGAGGTCTGTACATAGAAAAAAATGCTACAAACCGAGTCAGGGGGATGTAAGAAGAGAAATAGAACAAATCTAGTTTTCTTTTCAATTTTTTTGTTTCTTTCTCTGTTTCTCTGTACGGGCTAATCTCCTGTTGGACCGATTCAAATGAAATTTTGCATTATATCCCCGGTCAACATTTTATATACTTTTCATCACGGGACATTAATGAGTTCCCGTGGGATAGTTAAAAACTATAGTAACTTATACAGCTTGGTACACAAAATCTACTGATTGGATGTTAATGAAACTTTACAATAATATATGTAGTTCATACATCAGAATAACAAATAGGCTACTTTTTATCCCAGAAAAATGTACGGTTCCCCTGGGATAGATTTGTTTCTGATTGTCTAGAGGCGAACCCAAGCGAAGCGAGGGTGACTCGCTATTTTATAATATTTAATTACTATTACTATTTATTTTTGAGTATCTATATATTATTTATGTCTAGAGATAAGTCTACTTTTGCAAACAAAAATTGTATTTTAATTATTGTATTTAATTTTCAGTGCAATAAAGAATAGTATATATAATTGTGTAACAGTAATTGTGCACCTACGGAGAATTTGAGCTGTGTTACTCTGTTTACATACGTTTATTCAACCAACTCCAACTTCACTGCCCAGTTTTACCACCTTAGGGGACAAATTTTGAAAAATTCCAAAATGCATGTTTATTTAATTGTGTAGAAGAGTATTTATACCAAGTTTCAAGTAATTCTGATCATACACAATTTTCTCTTCATATAAACAGCGCAACCCTTTTTTATGGAATGAATTTAAAAAAAATTGTATTATTTTATTCTTCATTTTAAAGGTAAATACGATTTTCCTTATGAGATTGAATTTTGACAAATGTTAAAACATGTGTTTATTTAATTGTATTGAAGAGCATTAATACCAAGTTTCAATTAATTCTGATCATAAATAATTTTTTGCCCATATAAAATTTATTACCCCCTTTTACACCTTTAAGACATGAATTTCGAAAAATCCTTTCTTACCGCAAGCCTACCATCATAAAAGGAAAACATCCTCGAAATTTCAAATGAAAAAAATGAAAAAATCCGCCCGCGTTCAAATGACCAAAAACCAAATAAAATAGCGCTATTGTTTATTTTTTTTCAAGATAAGCTATTTTTAATAGTTTTTGCCTTATTTAGTAAGTTACCTTGCTGTATCATCGTCATTTTATTCTAACCAGTTTTTGTATTTTTTCTCAGAAATGAGATATTTTCCCAGGGTAAATAATATTCTATATGTTGCCCCGGATAACCAGCTGTCATCATACTAAATTTCGCCAAAATCCCTCCATTACTTTTTCTGTGATGCGGTAACAGACAGGCAGACAGACAGACAGACAAAAATTCCAAAAACTATAGATTTGGCTTCTGTCATATAATGTCTATTTCAATAAGATTTTCCAAAAAATATTTAATGTACAGATTCGACTTAGTTAGAATTTTATTATATGTATAGATTAATAATAAATTCCAAAGACTGCCATGCTACACGGTGCTGTGTGCCAGTTGGCCAGAAATGGTACAATTTTATTTTAGAGTCCACTAGTCGACCTCTGAATGATAATTCCATTAGGGGCTACGATGCAGTACTGATTGTTAACTAGAACGAATTGTATACATATTCAATATACAAATAGTGAGTTATAGATATAAAGTCTTTTAAATGATAAATAATAATACTAATTACAACTCAAGACATCCATAGTACTATCATTTTGAAAAACGAATGCGTTATAACCTAAGAAGAACTGACAAAACATCGTTTATTCTTTGGAGGAGTGTTTTTGGAGTTTTTGGTCACATTACATATTTGTATTTTTAAATATTCATTTATTCATAAAATAAGACTGAGCTATTTTACAAATCAACTATCCGCGAAATATTTGCACGCATAACTTGATGTTACATTGTTAAAACCAGCGTCAACCATGTACGAGTGGCGACGAGTTGCGGCACTCAGGTCATGTACGTTCGAATGAATGACGTATCGGCATGATGATGAGTTTGGTGCAGGAAGTGGACAGGGCTGTTCGCAGGAGCAGGTCGTTGTCCCAGTGAACGTAGCACTTTCGCTTTTATCGGCGAACGAACCCGGTCCATTACTACCGCACTCACGCGGTTACACCATCACGCAGCTGCTCAGATTTAGCTGCGTTTGTCGCTACGGCATGCATACAAATAGGCGCTCATTTAGACCTGTGGTGCTTAGATTTCTCTGCGCTATAAGTAGAAACTCCTGCTTGTTACTCATCTATAAATAGCTATGCTCCTTCATTTTAAATTATTAAAGCGGATATATAAAAAAATAACATAAATAAAATAAATGACAATCAAATAGTAAATTAACAATGTTCAGATCCATTGCTATAAATTACATATAAAAATATCATTTTATACATAGGTATATTTACACATAAAACATAAGAACAATTCTTTGTATATTTCTTAATTATTAAATGGATATTACAATTACTTTATTTAAAAACATTTGTTTATGTTTAACATTAATCAATATGGTCATGGTTTTGATTCAGTTATACTCTATTTAAGACATTAGTTTCACGCGTCATTTCATTTTTCACACGTATTTTCATTCATACATATTTCTTTTTTATAAAAAGATAGAGCGTAGCAGAATTTAATTCTCCGTTTTCCGCTAGTATCCAAAGCATTGCGTGCTGGAGGCCATGCCCAACACTACGCTTTGTTTTGTCAGAAAAGGACAATATAATATACTAGCATACCCCGCGGCTCCGCCCGCGTTCAGATGACCAAAAACCAAATTCTTAGGTTTTACATATTAGTATACATACTCTTACTTTGCAGTTTTTGTATTTTTCTCAGAAATGAGATATTTTCCCGCGGCAAAAAGTGTCCTATATGTTGACCCGGATAACCAGCTATCACCATACCAAATTTCATCAAAGTCCCTCTAGTGGCTTTTCTATGATGCGGTAACAGACAGACAGACAGACAGACAAATAGACAGACAGACAAAAATTCTAAAAACTATAGATTCGGCCTCTATCGATAATAATGTTTATTTCACTATGATTTTCCAAAAAATATCTAATGTACAGATTCGGCTTAGTTAGAATTTTATTATATGTGTAGATGATGAATACATGTATTTGTTCTATGCAGGTACATATTATAAGTAGGTATAGATATAATTCGCGATTTCAAATGTTAGACAGGATACGTTCATGCAGGATACGTTCTGCCAATTTATCCATATCCATACTTAATACTATAAATGTAAAAGTGTGTTTGTTTGTTTGTCCTTCTTTCACGTCGAAACAGAGTGACGACGGATATGTGTGATTTTTTGTGTGTAGATAGTTGGAGATCTGGAGAGTAACATAAGCTTTTTTACGGCGGAAGATTATCTCATTTCCACGGGAAAACACGGTATAATACAACCCAATAATATTTATGATCAGAATTATTAGAACTTGGTATTAATGCTCTTCAATGCAATTAAATAAAGATATGTTTTAGCATTTTTCGAAATTCATCCCATAAGGGTGTAAAATAGGGGATGAAAGTTTTTGTGAAACCTACCTTTTTAGTTTTTTTTGTACTTTTGGCGCGAGTGAAGCCGCGGGTTCTGCTAGTTAGTACATGTTTTAAATACGTTTTTATAACATACTAGCGTTTTTCCGCGGCTCCTGCCGTTTAGTTTGATGAAGTATTACTATGTCTTTTTAAATTTTAGTCTTGTGTTATTCTGATGTATGAGTAGGTAATCTATTACTAAAAAAAACAGCCAAATCTTTAGTACTTTTTGCGTGAAAGAGTAACAAAGATATATGAATCATCTGTAATATTATAAGTACTAAGTTAATTTAATTGTGTTACTATGCAAGGATTGTTTCAGTCGTATTATATTAAATGTTTAAAAATTATTTATATTCCAAGAATAAAGATAACCATCATTATATAATCGAACAAATAACAAAAGTGATATGGATAATTGCAACATATTATTACATATTAGATGTCTAATCAAGTGATTAAATTATAAAAATAAAAAACTCGACTGCATAAAAGTTAACTAAAACGATGAAAACAAGTTAACGAAGAATATATAATATATAATATATATATATATATATATATATATATATATATGTATGTGTATGTTTATATAGGCATTATGCAGTCGGAGACATACAAGTTTCATCCTTGCCGCGAGATGTACATGTGTAATCGCATCTTAAAAACCTTTGTTTTGGTACCCCATTCTATTGGTTTGGACGAGTTTTTTTTAAAGACACACAATTGGCATCTGAAATCTGCCATTTTTATTTTTACTATTTTTATATCCTATCACTCGCGTTATCAAGACAAATCTAACTACGTATGAATCATCAAAATCGTTTGGTCTCTAGAATGTCATATGAGAACAAACGTTCATACATACATAGACTGATAAACACGTTACCCTCCTTTGGGTCGCGCAGTCAGATAAATAGTTTTAATTTGACTTTAAAATGTATTTCTCAATATACTTAAAAAATATAAAATTTCAAAAAACGAAAGCCGCCATTTTCTGAAGTAAATATACCTATAATTTGTTTGGTTTTCCATTTTATTGATTTTACGATGCAATTGGTTCTTGATTCGAGTTAGGGCGGATTTTCCGTAGTAAATTTATCATTAAAACTGACTGGCAGTAACTAAACTGTTAAATATTTAATAATTGATTGATGTAGAAAGGTTTACAAATGTAAATTTAATATTATACATAAAGGTATTATAAATTATAAAGTGAACAATTAACTTCCAAGGCTTTTTTAATATTTGAACATATATGCATGTATCAACGTAAATATAAATATATTAATACGCTATATAATGTGCTTTATTGAAGTAATAAAAATACAAGTACCGCGTTTCTATCGTTGTAGGCGTATTTTGGTCCATACCTAAGGGTTCGCGGGCAAGTGCTTACGTGTTCAATTTCGAAACGCTGGGCTTTGTTAATAATAATGAAGATCTGCGTAGTTTCATCACAGTGCGCTCGTTGAATAATAACGTCCGGTTGAATGAACCATTGCATCGTGTCCTTGTTTTCTGTGATTTTCCATGGCAGAGTGCGAGGCACGTGCGCCGTCGCAGGCGGTTCCTTGCACGAACACTAATAGGTGCTTCATGTGCTATACGGCTTGTCAATATAGTATATTTATATTGCAACTAGCAATGCCTGCGGCTCCGCCCGCGTTCAGATGACTAAAAAACAAATTCTTAGGTCTTACATAATAGTATACACTATACATACCCTTACATTGCAGTTTTTAAATTTTTCTCAGAAATGAGACATTTTCCCACAGTAAAAAGTATCCTATATCTTGACCCGGATAACCAGCTATCACCGTACTAAATTTCATCAAAATCCCTTCAGTGGTTTTTCTGTGATGCGGTAACAGACAGACAGACAAAAAATCTAAAAACTATAGATTCGGCCTCTGTATCGACAAAAATGTCTATTTCATTAAGATTTTCAAAAAAATATTTAATGTACAGATTCGGCTTGGTTACAATTTTATTACTCGTATACGTATATATATAATAAGTAAGTTATTATATATTTCTAAAACTTTATTTATTTAGTTGCATACATAGGTTACTCGTACATATTTCAAACTGTATATTAATAATATCTTAAGGCTTATGTAATAGTTTAGATATTCCATCTCCGCAGCAGCTATTTCTATTAATATGCAAAATTTTAAGTGAGGCTATTCAACAACAAAGTCATTGTTCAATATCAGCTAAGTAAGATAACTTTTAAATGCACATCCTACGTGACGTTTTGTTCTATAACTCTAGCTTCTCAGTGTAGATGCGATCGAGATGAACTTAATAATGAATCTACATAAATGATTAAATTTTAAATACTCAGCTTTTAAATAATTTATTTGTAGCGATTTTTCTTAAAATAGAAATCTGTACAATAACGAAATGTATTTGTAAAATATCCTTCAGTGTGAATTTAAAACTTCCAATATAAGGAGGTCGACTATAAACCTGTCAGTGTGTTTTATGACGAATAGCTTACAACGTGTTCAAAAAAGAATGGTTGCTATTCCAATCTACTTAATATTATAATAATTCGACACAGCCTCGAGGCTGGTCCGTTGCTATGCTCTTTGTAGAGTAGTGGAACACTATTCTGTTATGTTTTTAATACGGTTACTTTTTTACTGAAGCCGCTTTTTAGTTTAGAGTCCTCTGTTACGTTACTTCTACAAATATATTATTACTAGCGACACACTCTCGCTTCGCTCGGGTTCGTCCCTAGGTACGTTTTAACGATTAGTATAGAACAGATAGACCTTATACTGTTATATACCTACATATATTATTTTTTTGTAACTTAAACTTGTAGATGGTAGGTCCACCACTATTGAAAGTTATCCGAAGTACAGTTCTGAACTTTACGATTTTCCAGCTGTTCTTATAGGTTTTTCCTATTTTTTTTATATTTAAACCATCCCTGATATACCTCCAACAAAACAAACAAAAATATTCAAATCGGTTCAGCCGTTTTTGAGTTTTAGCGAGACTAACGAACAGCAATTGATTTTTATATGTATATATAGATGTTGCTAAGGTCTACAAACTTTTTCATTTTTTCCAAATTTAAGCTTCTAGCAATAAAATAATAATTTTATAATATTTCGAGGATACAATAATTAGATTTAAAATAAAATTCGACAATGAATAAAAAGAGTCAAAGGTTTTCTATGAAATGTAGATAACTAGAGAATTATTAACGACATTTATCGATACCATACTAATAGTTTATGTATACGAATACCTGGACGATGTATATAATGTGCATATATGTACTTACAGCAGCTTACAGTAACAATAGATACTTGTTCACTACCTGACCTAATCACATCGGCCATTCAACATCCGTTCAAGAAACTGACCACACATACTGAATATGAAATGCACGCAGTTTTATGTGTCACTTTTTGTCAGAAGTGAGCATTTTCGAGTTCGGTTGTTGACCCTAGAATTGCGTAGGCTAGCTACTTTCTCTTGATGTTGGGGCGAGGCGGGCCGCGACGAGTGAGGTGAGAAGGGGGTCCTGCCAAAATAAGCACGTGAAAGGCTATGTAGTCGTTCCTTTGATCAGGTATACAAGTCCGCATTGGAGAGCCCTGTATTGTACTTCAGCAAGCGTTGGAATGTACGGCTTATAGATAACAATTTTTATGAGCATGCCTAAATAAATATTACACTAGGCAAATTTCTGTTCAAGTATATATGAGGTTGAGATCTAAGTGATACCACTATAGTGAAACTGGTGTCAATATAAAAGTAGCTATCTCTATCAGTCGTAGCTACAAGGTTGCTGAACCCAGGTCATAGTGGCAATCGCGAATATACAGCCAAGTTTGGCAACTTTGGGAATTTAAATAAAGGGGCAGTTGATCACGTTTAGGCTTTTCAAGAGTTGTATAAGTACTTATCGCTTTCTACGCTTGTAATCGGAGTAAGCGAAGAAGTGAGTGGAGAAATTGACCACGTATAACGGTTTAAAGTACGTTATTGAATTTTATGCTAATTAACTAATTTTTCAGATAAAATATCTGTAATTAAACAATTTCTAAATGCCTTATAGTTGAATTTTGTTGTTGTATGTAATAGACAATGGTACAGTAATTTTTTTTGCTAAGTGCTATTTTTTGGCGTTATTCTCAATTTCGTAGCTTTTTCAGTTCGGAAAATCTAACTAAAGGTATTAGAATAATTTGTACACTGAGTATGGCCTTAAAAGTAAATAATACACATGTGTCTCACGTTATATGTACTTATTGCGCCGAAGAAGGATTACGAAAAGTATTCAACGGCGCCACGGGAATACCAATCGGGCTGAATTGGGCAGCTTACAAAGGTCGAAGGCAAAATAATTTATAAAAATTGCGAAACGTCTTGATAAAGAAGTTGGCACATTGGACGTGCCTACGGCACTACGTTCTCTCTTTTGAAGGTTACGTGGCAGACTTGTGCGTGTGTGTGCCGTTAAAATGAAACTGTCATAATTTAGAAGGCCTAGTTTAATAAGAATACGTAACTGTAATCGTGACGTTCAACGCGTTTGGTCTCTAGAATCTAGTTCCTTAATAATGTAAAATATCTAACAGTTTGCGTATTGAAATATTTTTATACATGTATTTAACGTAAAGATAAGCTTTTATTCTACCTTTAAATAAATGTACAAATATTGATAAAACATTATAGTAGTGTTTGTGAACATTGAAAGTAATATTCAGGATGGTCTACGCGACGTAGTCGTATCGTCTACGCACGAAAGGGTAGGGCGCAAGTGCGATCGCGCAGGCATGGCAGGCGGCGCGCAGCGGCGGCAGCGCGTGCGGTTGCTCGGGGTCGGGTCTCGTATTTCTAGAGCATTGAACCTCTGCAACCTTGTGTGTTGAGCCCGGCCGTTCTCCGTGCGCTGATGCAACCGCTTCAGCCCCTTCTCCTCTTCACCCACTATAATTAATTATTCCTTTAGGGCAAGTCAATTCATAAACGACCACAGTCGACGATATAGACGCGATCTCTATCAAGTCATGAAAGGTTAATAGAGTGCTTGCAAAATTTATTCAGCATACATTAAACAACTATTATTAATCCAAATCAGCATTATGTAATTTAGTTTTAATTGTATAAATCAGCAAAGTCTAATTCGGAAAATATCTAAGTAATTGTTTTTTGTCATTTTTAACAGCATCTGATTTAATTTGATTGATTTTTTCGATACAAAGTAGGCGTAATGTGTTAACGAGCTAACCGATACAAGTCTGCAAATAGTACGCGAGAAGTGCGAAACGATCGCGGGGCACAATTGGCGCCTGTCCGAGAGCGTTTCGAGGTGATTCTTACGTAAAGCACTGATATAACCAAGTCGACGACCGCGCTTGCGCAACCACCGACAAACCCGCAACCCCACGCACCACACCTTGTCATCTCTTATCTCCCCACTACTATTAAAATTACCTAATTGCACCGAAAATATAGCAAAAGGACACTAGTTGACGGGTCGAATTACGAAATAGACTTTAGAGCAACAACCTCTGCTAAGGACAAACGGCTCGAGTTTATCTTGCATATATTTCGACGAATATTTTGTATGTAAAGTAATAGGTGGTCGTTCACGTCTGTAATTTTAGTAACCTTTGCTTCATCAATAGTTCAATCAGCTTCAACAATTTCACAACCCAAAAAAATGGATGATCACGAATGTATGTTTTACATAAGCCGATGCTTAAATATCTATAGACGATGATTATGTGCTATAATCTTTATGATGTGATTATATGTGCTATAATTATAATACAATATATGATAATTGCAAATTAATATCGCACTTTGTCAAATTGTAAGTATGGAAGTGAGGTATAAGTAGGTGCGTTGGTTGTTGGTTGTTACATAGTCACATTACTGTTATCCTTAGTAAACGAAAGTGAAAACTAAATGTGGACTTGGTCATCGACCCCGAGCGGGTCATCGACCGCATTGAACTGCAAAGGCCGTTTGTGAGTGCGGAGGCCGTATGCGCGACATTTAGCTCCGTAATGCTGGACGCACCCGCCGCTCTGAACATTCAGCAAACGTCCGCGCCCGCGCTGGTATTGCACATGACCTGCAATAAATTAAATATTAATATTTACAATGAAACTTCACTTGACATTTATTATACGAGTATTGTAATCCTAATGATAAGTTAATTAAAACATACAACTAATTTGTAAATTATTCGCATAATCTCATCAATCTATCATTCAGATGTAAATTTTGCCATACATTTAGTCGCCTTGTTATTAGTGTGTAATCATAATTGTAGAAAAGTTTCTTAATTAATAATAAAAAATAAATTGGCCATTTAAAGTAAATAAAGTTGTAAGCTATATTAAAAAGTAAGGCAATCAACTCGCAACAAAACAGATTTTTAATATACATAATTGTATATAGAGAAAGGAGAAATGATAATGCTTTCGCGTGGAAGTATACAACTTTCCTTAGTAAAATTGTGTTAATCCGCTGTTAAACTTAGTATTTGTGTAGCTATTTGAGAAATTTATGTTTCAAATTCTAAACAACTAATCTGTACGGCATTCTAATTTCAACTAGAATAGTTTTTTATATTATATTCGACATTGAATATAATGAATAATTTAGACGGCCGTTATGTATCAAATCAATTAAAGTACTTTAAATCAAACTTTTTTATTCTAATATTTATTTATATATCCATTTATTTTATTTATTTATTTTAGGGAAACAAACAGTAGGATATTACATAAATAATTAATAATAATAAATAACACATAAACCAATGAAGTTTCCACAAATTAAACAATACAAATATGAAGCAGACCACAATGAAAATGAGAAAAACACAAAGGTAAACACTAAACTAAAAAAATACAAAATGAAACACTGGTTAACATGAATAATAAAAAAATAAAAAATAAGGAAAAACATAAAATAAATAAAACACAAAATCAACAATTAAACAATAGGTTATTAATACTATTTTTGAAACTTATAAGTGAATTCGAAAATATGTCTATACGTTTAAATTTTTTATTATACTCATTACATGAGCGAAGTATAAAGGTATTTCGAGCATATTTCGTTCTAGTACATGGCAGGCCAAAAATATCGTGGTTACGCTTACTAAATTTTGGAACCTTAAAATTCAAACAGCTTAATAAGAAAGGGCTATCAATGAAATTATTTAAGAATTTGAAAAGAAAAATTTGATCTCTAAGCGTGTATTATAAGTTTATTGATCTACATTAAATAACGCAACCGCGCCTATAGTTTATCATATTACGTTCGAGATTTTTTACGTCACTGAGAGTAATAGGTAATGAAACAAAGAACTAAGTTCTAGAATTTAAAACTATTTTACTATGGTTGTTTCATTGCTTTAAAATAATTTAAGGTATTTTAAAACGTATCCATACTATTCTTTGCGCTTTAGTGTATAGGAGATTCTGTATGTCTATGAACTAAATTCATCTATAAACTAACTTGCAAAATGATAACTACATAGTAACTACTTACACCACGGCTACTTACTCGTGCGTCCACATAGAAAAAGTAAAAGATCATGTTTATAATTTTTAAATATATTATAAATTTAAAATATATAAAATAAATTAACTATAATATGTATTTCTAATTTTATAAAAACTTTCAATCGTTCCGAAAACATTCAGGTTAAGAAATGTCTTTGTTAATAATGGTATAGAGTTACAGTATTTATGCTACAGTTCCTACATAATTTATTGACTCCTATCCCTATCTCCTGACTCTATCCCTCGGATTCTATTAGTTTCAGGATTTAATCGTGTTTTGTATCAGGAAACCGAGTATTAAAAAGTAATTTTAGTCTATATGCAAATCCAAAAATTAATTTGCACATATTATATTAATTTTTGCATTATTTCAATTCACTTTCTCTGTTTTACGATGTGGCAGAAGGACAGGCATACACTAGATTGATGCAGGATATTGTTTAATATTTAGTCAATTTCCATACCAACGTTTGACGTCAATCGAAGATTATAAAATCCGCCAATAAATTCATACATATTCCTTGTACGAAACTGCCGATACGGGTTACGAAATTTGGAAAGCAGTTTATTTCGAAGTTTATATTTTTTTACCGAACGATAATGCGCTATGTTGCGAAATTTAAATGCGACGCTTATTTCTAATGACATTTATAACTGTTAATTTTTTTGTAAATTATTACTGTAGCCATTATTATATATGGAAAGATTGGAAAGTATATATGTACAAGCAACTGTAAAAAATATTCTCCATATATGTTATAAGATGTAGAAAAGATGAAAAAAATGTAGATGATTTCAAAATGTTTTGATTAATAATTGTAATAAGTCTACTATAATTATGAGAAGCACGTATTATATAATTGCAAAATAAATAAATAATTCTAAACTAGCGTCTCACTCTCGCTTCGCTCGGGTTCGCCTCTAGAAAAGCAGAAAGAGATCTATCCCACGGGAACTCTTTTATTTCCGGGAAGTATCTGAAATATTGACCGGGGATATAAGGTACCACCATGTAAAATTTCATTTAAATTGGTCCAACAGTTTCGGAGATTAGCCCGTATACAGACAAAGAAACAAAAAAATTGAAAAAAATCTTGATTTGTTCTAGTTCTCTTCTTACATCCCCCTGACTCGGGTTTTTTCTATGTACAGACATCCGACCTCTACAGTTTTATTATATGTATACAATATATATAGATATATGATCTTTCAAAAGTATTTCTACTAAAAATATGGTAATATTTTATAAGTTAGTCAAAAGTAACAATAATGCAAACAAAAAGCGGTACATGATACGACATAAAAATGAATATGAAATGCCAAGTAGATACGTACGTTATAACTTAAATTTTAGTACTTTTGTTTGGTGCAACCAGATTGTAGCATAAGTCGTTTTGTTGACGAGAATAAATGGCAGATGAGAGAAATTTTGCGTGATACACTCCTAAGGGGGACACGGTCACGAAAAGTCATCGCCTCCGAACTCTGAATGTGGATCGAGTGCTTCTTCTTAGGTTGCAATCCAATACATCTTTAGCAGCCCGAGGCTAATAAAAGTCAAAGTCAAGCATTTTAAAATACGTCAAAAACGAGGTAGAGTTTAGATTATCATCTAAAATGACAGAACTATTACATATATATAATAATAATAATAATTTGTAATTATCAATTTTTTATATTAAAGAATTTATTGTCATAACTTTCCTATATGAAAAGAACAAAGGCTTTGTGCGCAAAATAAAAGTCCGAAATCGTCCATTATATTTTCGAAAGCACATTAAGTCCTTATGTAAGAGTTCAACGTGACACTTCACGAGATGCGGCGTGCACGCCCGTTTAGCGCGCCACTTTCCTTCAGTCAAATATTTGGCCAACTCTGTACCTACGTTTTATTTATTTTATTTTATTTATTATTTTTATTTATTTATTTATTTATTTAAATAGGAAGGAACAACGTTGTATACAATAATATTTCTTATTTTAGAGCACACTCTTATGTATCTGTGATAGAAATCGTATACCTCACTTACAGGCTAACTCAGCATGCATAAAATATAAAGAAAAACGGAAAATAATACAAAATATCATTTGAAATTAGTAATTTTAAAAACTTACATAACTAAAAAATGATACAAAAAAAACACATAATTTTTTTTGTTAATTATTTATAAGATACAAAAGCAAAATTATAATTTTCTTTTTACATTTATTTGTATACTACAATGTTGTTGACCGTCAGTACGTATGTGCATTATGCATATATGTATAAATTTCAGGTAGACTTTTCAGAGAACACAAATCTTTAAAAAAAATATAATATTCAAAATTGTACATTCTCTAAAATGGCGGATCAAAGCAAAAGTATTTGAAGCAATAATTGTAATATACGTTTGGATTCGAAACGTTAAACAGAAGTCAATAGATAGAGTCAATTCAATAGGTCATCAGCGAAATTTATTGCAAACCGGTCAAACACTAATATCTCTCCAATTTTTTAATCAAGTCGGTCAAAACGGGTTTTCTCTCCCAGTAAATATACAAGTAGTCTGCAGTTTAAGAATTTGGGTCTCGTAATTGTGGTCTAAGTTAATTTCTTGATATCTTTTAGCGCCAATATATTAACACGATCAAGTGCATTATTGGAATTGTATATATATATTATAAATATGTCTAAAATATGTGTAATTTAAACTATAATTATTTAGATTGGCAAAATACTTTGTACACTTGAAATGTAAATAAAAACTGTTATCATTTATATAAATATAACAAACCGAGCCACTAGTAATGAATTCCCAGAGGATGTTTGTATTAGTGCTGTCGTCAGTTAGTATCGAGTGTCGTTCTAAGAAGGAGAATCTCGCTTTGACAGCAGCCGCAGTCCGTAGTCCGCATCATTGCAGAGGTCGTCGACCTCGAGCTACGTTTTACATTTGGCGAACAATGATTTGGAGTGGCGAGGTGAATGGCCGCGCTCGGAGGGGCTGAGCGTGGGCAGTTATTGACCCATATTGGAGGTGAAATGTAGATCAGTGGGCGAGAGCGGCGAAATTCGCCGCGGAGTCGAGAGTCTGCGCACGGAACAACCATCGCGTAAGTATGCGCCAGCGCCGCAACGTGCTCGTATAGCGTGCTGTCGACTGCCTGTTAAGTTCATTTTAATAATATTCCATTGTTATTTATTTCTTTACTTTTGTTAGTTATTTTAATTTTAAATATCTTTTTTTATTAATATCAAAGAACAATAATTCCAAGAATAAGGTTTAATTTTAAAAAAATGATATTTTTAAAATAAATGTTATAATAGATATAGGTATAATATTATACTTTTATGTATAGCAAATTTTCAAAAATTGTTGCAGAGTACCTACCTACATGCGCGACTCTAACTACCACATTTAATGAACAAGACTCAAATTTAAATTGTAAATTATTAATAAGTCAATAATAAAAACACTTGGTATTATTTAGTATACTTATTAGTTGCCTATTCATATTACTATTGTTGTAATTAAAGATCAAAGAATTGATTATATTTATTATAGATTTCTCAATGATCTTAGACTATTATTATAAAAACTTTAATTTTTTTATGCTTTTTAAATAAAACTATCTTTTCGAATTTTTTCGCGGATTTATTTGGATTTTTTGTTCCCGACGTTTCGAATGCTTTACAGCAATCATGATCACGGGAGAGACTGAGGTGTTAGATGTCTCGAAGGTATAGTTGTTATAGACAGTCTATCCACAACTAACAAAATGAAAATTGCGCCAATTACCTTACAATATTTTTTAACTTTAAACATTTTTATAATTTTAATTAGTTTTATAATTGAATATGGAATATTATTTATTTATTTTTTGCTGTTATTATTATAATTATTACAATTTTAAAAATATTAATTAGTAATCCATATTTAATGTTGCCATTATTATATTTATAACCTTGTTTTTTATGCTTGTAATAAAAATCTCTTTAAGCCATTGTTAAAATTGTTTAACAAATAGAAAGTTATATTATTTCTGACAAATATATTACGTTTTTTTAGCGACGTACCACATAAGAGAAGCAAAAAAGTTTTGTTTTGACTTACTGATCAGATTAAATGGGAATTACTGATTGGATTATATGATTTTTTTAATGTGAAAGTTTTTGTTCTGGTCAGCTATTAGTATACCTTTGTGTTTGAGTTATATTAGAAAGAACACAGCACGGCGTAGATTTCTAGAGTCACACAAGTAGTGTATTTAGAGACTGAGTGAAGTGAGGGTGAGTCGCTAGTCCAGCTGCTAATTCCTTTGTTGTCTGTATGTGTAGTAGAACTTTCAAATTCCAAATATGTATTTAACTAAAATATATAAACAATACGTAGCTTTGCTTAATATACTAGGTATTACAACCTATTTATATTCTGCAAAGTTTCGTAACGATTCTACTACTTGGATTTTAAATATTCCAAATATGATGTAACTTTAATTTAATTTTAATTTGGCTTTTTTTTGTAACATTATTTAAATTATTTTAGCTGACAGGTGTTGACTTATTATGAATGATTTTTATTGTATTTGAATTGTATTCATTAATTATATATTAGGGATTGATTATAATTGAATGTATATTTTTGATTATGTAATTATAGCGAATGTTATTGTACATTTGTAAAGACATAGATATCTAATTACTTATTATTATTTTCTAAATGTATATAAATATTATAATATGAGTGTTGTTAGTGTACTTTTTCTAAATAAAAATAAACTTTCTCTAATCAGATTTGTCTAGAGGTAGTTTATGGGTCAAAGTGTAACAAAGGCATTCACTAAGTGGCTTCCATAAGATATTACAATGTGTAGGCTTGTATTAAATAAGGACTGTAACCTACCGTAATTCACGATTATTTTAATGTCTAAGTTTATTTCTCCCAAAGAACCAAGAGAGAGGTATATAAAAATCATATAAACTTGTTCACCTTCTAAATCAATTACGCATTAATAACAAAGAAATAATAAAATTGGTCATTTCGGGGACAATTTTCAAAAAAAAAAACTAATTTTGTGTGGTTATTCATGCTATTATAGAATAACATACATATGTACAGACATTATTTGAAGCTATTGGGAAATATACATAAATTTTTTGTCCTCTTTAATCTAATTAATTTACCGATTACAATTTTCTAAAATAAACGAGTATTTGAAATGTAAATTATAATAAACAAACTTTATAATGTAATAAAGGGCCTTGATTCAGTTTAGTATTGTTTAAATGCTTGATTCATGACTTAAAACAGGATCTAATAGAAAATATATAAAGATTTCCGATATTCAAAACTATTTTAAGATACCATTGTTTCAAACACTGTATTTATGTGTTCATCTCAGCGTTTGATAGCAATTCTCACGGTGTGCAAAGGCGCGGTAATACTGATTGCGTTTCTCAGAACTGCTATAAAACGGCGATGAGTTCTAATTATAGTGCGTACACAGGCAAACGCCTTATGTCAGCACAAGGTTACTATAGGAAATAACTTCTAGACTACTTTCTGAAAGCGGCTAGAAGAAAGTACTTTTACTCAGAGACGTACACTGCGGCACAATTTCCACGAGCGTAAAGTCGTATCGTCCATCGACGTTTTAATTCTGGCTTTCCAAATACTTGTTTTAACGAACCTGTCCTGGTCAGGATATACAATATACGGGATTATTGCAACCATTGGACGTAACAATATTGACGTCGAATTACATTTAATTTACGGCTTAACTTTTCTATCTCTTCCGTTATATGCCCGTTAAGATTTTAAACAAGGCGTTTTTGAGTATTTTGTATGTACGACTTCTTTTAACGGAGATACTTATCAAATACTATACTGGTATCTTTCAGTTTTCTGTAGACACTGAAAAGATATTTAAAAGGATTTGTTTTTTTTGGGTATATTGGGCATTCTCAGTATCAAAGTAGGTATTAAAAAATTTTTTTATAAAGTAGCGACTCACCCTCGCTTTGCTTGGGTTCGTTTCTGGGTACGTTGTAACGGTTAGTATGAAATTGAAAGAATTATGTATACATAGGTATAGAAAAGTAGGTAAGTAGGTACTTCAAAAATAAAAAAAAAACTGAGAAATGATTCTTTCCGCATAAAAAGTTCCACCCCCCTTTTCACCCCCTTCAGGGATGATTTACAGGATAAAAACTATCTTGTTCTTCCCAGAGTCTCTATCTATCGCTATACCAAATTTTATCTAATTCGGTTCAAGGGATTAAAGCGTGAAAAGGAAACAGATAGACAGACAGACAGCAATCGCATTTATCTATACTAATATTATAAATAGGTAAAGTTTGTGATTTAGTGAGTTTGTGAGATTGTAGGGGGTAATCTCTGGATCTACTGAACCAATTTAAATGAAATTTGGTAAAAAGATAGTTTTAGGCCCTGGGAAGGACATAGGATAGTTTTTATCCTAGAAATCAACCTTTAAGGGGGTAAGAATGGGGATGAAAGTTTGTATGTATTATATTTATTTATTTATTTACACTAGTGATAATTACATTAATAAGATATTGTTTAGTAAAAATAAATACAGTGTAGCTAACTTAATTCTAAATGCATTATCTTTACGGCAGATGGCAGATGCAATTATTAGGAAGCTTATAAATCATTTATATGTTACTAGCGACTCACCCTCGCTTCACTCGGTTTTATCCCTAAGTACGTTTTAAAGGTAAGTATAGAATAGTGTCTATTCTAAAGACTATATATATTTTAAATAAATAAATATAAGTTTATATATAATACATAAGTTTTTTTTATTAAAAATGGGCTTACTCTCGACCTTTATCTTAGCTCGAAAGCATAGATAAGGTCTACGATCTAGCGAGTTTGTCTAGGAAAACAAAAACAGGTATAGAAAAGTAGGTAAGTATTATTATATATATAATTTTTTTATTGTTTTTTATATTTATATTTTTTTTCTTATGTTCGAGGGTTTCTAGTAGATCTTTTAAAAAGATAAGTCATCCTTTGTAGGTACACAATTATTTTTTATGCTACTTAAATAAATATATAATATACTCGTACTTATAATATGTTATAAGCGATCTGCGCTGTTTTAGCCGAGCTAACCACTACTATTTAATTCCTAAATCTGACCCATGCTTTATATGGAAGTGCGTTGAACTGGCAGCTGAAGTACTTTTAAATCGACTCGAGTTCTCAACCGATAAAATTTAACTTGTCTAAACTTTTGATTATAGAAGTCCCATTTCCAAAATATATGCACACAATAAGAGACATAGCTAGATGTTACATAATTTAAGAACTGACGAGTGTGCTAAATTAAAAAAAAACCGGCCAAGTGCGAGTCGAACTCGCGCACGAAGGGTTCCCTACCATTATCTATAAAAACGGCAAAAAAATCATGTCTGTTGTACGGGATTGCATTCCAATCCACTGTCTACACTGCCACGGCACTATTATTTCTAAACGAAATTATCACCGTTCTTTCTCTGTGTAGTAGCTTGCGAAGATGTTTTTATTAGAGCTACGAGTACATATGCAGCTGAAATTTGGTACGTAGGATTCCCATGAGATCCACTAGACAAATCCCTGGTGAAAATGCGAAAAATAAAAAAAGTAGGTATCGCACTCCATATAGGAATGTAACTGAGGGGTAAAAATAAAATGAATGTTTACGGAAGTTAAGTCTTTAAAATTTTCAGATAGATATTTCTAAGTCACATAGTAAAAACAAATAATGAAAAGTGTGGATAGGACTCGCGTTTTAGATTCTTATCGGTCGTAAAGATTTAATTCATACGTCTTATTAAGTACTCTTTTTTATCTGTCATGTTCCCCAAATAAAAATCCAATTTGATAAAATTCGATTTTAGGCTTCTGCTCAAGATAAGTAATGTTTATCGCTTATATCATCTATCTTCTATCTCTTAAATTAAAATTTCCCTTAAAACTAATGTTTTGCATATTAAATTTTGCATATTAATGCAAAATTTTTGGTATCATTCAATTAATATCGAATCTCATATCGAGCTCAAGTTATCAGTAACCTCAGATATGCAGACAATGCGAAAATTTACGTTACTTGCTTCTTTTTAACCGACTTCCAAAAAGGAGGATGTTCTCAATTGAGAAAACTCTTATTGCAACAATATCAAAGGTTTTCCCAAGAAGAGTGACACTTATCTAATCTAATATATTTAAACAAGCAATTGAGCAATTCTTGTATATATATAATCTGAATCTCGGAAAGGGCTCCAACGATTTTCATGAAATTTAGTATACGGGGGGTTTCGGGGGCGATAAATCGATCTATTATAGATTAGTCTTATGTCTGAGAAAACGCGTGTTTTCGAGTTTTCATGCAGTTTTCTTTTGCATTATTCCACACAAAATATGATCGGTAATTTGCACGCTCGGGCATAAGCATCATGGTCAAGCGGCCAAGGTGCAATATCAACAATCACAGGTGTCCGGGTTCGAATCTCGGTCCCATACAAACTATTTTTTTTTTTTTTTTAATTTTTTTAATTGTACTTTAGGCCAAAAACTCCAAGCGAAGTTTGGCAGCCCAGGTACTAACATTAATCCCGCCCAACGTGTGTTCACCTTGTCGTGGTGGGGGGCTCAGTAGTGCCCGGCAATACAGCCGGGCGCGAATCCAAGAAATGCACAGGGAGGTGACCCGCTTCGGTGTGCGGTGGGAGGTGGCCCTCTTCGGAGGGCGGTGTACCATGCGGGTTGCTCCTGGTACTTCGCTGATAGCAGAGTGGACTTTGGAGCAACCCCGTGGTTGTTGTGGTCTGCTTCGGCAGAGCTGCCGTCGGGGCGTCGTAGTTGAATGCGTAAGCGATCTTGCGACGCCCCATTAAGACGGGGGAAGGCTTTGTTGGGTTTTAGTGGGTAGTACTGGCTTTGCCGGTGAGTCCCACACCTCGTACGTAAATGCATTTCCCAACGTTAAAAAAAGGTACTAACATTAATACCAGAAGTATACACATTCTTACAGGTTCTTTGGCTCAGTGGCATAGTCAACTCTTTTTGTGAATAATATATACGTCGCTACAACAATTTACAAAACACACACACACAATTTATGAAGCTCCCATTGATAGACTTAAATTTGTAATGTTGCATATTAAAATTTGTACCTTCTTATTTTACATAAAAAAAGTAAAACAAAAGTGGGTCTAAAATAAAACTACCGAAATAATTCAGGGCATTTTTAGAACTGCTGAAATATGGAATAATGAATTTTATTTATTTTTTGAATAATGATATATATGATTTGTAATCCCTTGATTACTAAATACCCCTTTGAGAGCCGAAGACAGAGTGACGTGGACGGGAGTAAGTACTTCCGTTACAATGTTCAAGACGAATACGAATAATGTCTTTATTTTTTAAAGAATGTCATCATTTTCAAAAGGCGATCTTTGCCTTCAATTATCTCGGAAGTTACATTTTAGGTCATATTTTAGATAATTTTTATTTGTTAATTGTTATCTTCTATCTATTTAATTATTAATATTTTTTGTAAAAAATAAATAAAAAGGTGTAAAATATTAAGTGTCATAATATTAGGCTGCTTAAAGCTATAATTGAGCAATTTATCCGAGTTACGTTACATGCTTATATGTAATTTATAATGATTTTAAATTTTTATTATACTTAAAAGTCATGTAATAAAAAATAAATGCGTAAATCAAGTTTATGATGTAAATAAAATTTATCTTTCTTTCTTATTTGTTGCATAATATCAACTATTTCTTAATCGGAATCAATATGACGTTGAGGTGACCAATCAGGTGCGAGCATTTTAAAACGTCCAATCTATAATAATTATATTCGTAGACACCAGTGCAATTGTCGATGAAATAGTGTGAGTGTTTCGTTGTATTACTGCTATTTGGTACACGTTTAAGACAAAAATAAAAGCGGTAAATATATAAAAGTTATCTACGTTTGTTAACAATTAATTATTAAAGGAGGTATGTTCACTTTCATAACTAACATCATAAGGGCATTGTTTCTTGTATGATAAGTTTCTTTCAATTTTTTTTTTAATTTTAAGATTTTAAGCTAAATGAAACATGACCCCTATTAAAATATTTTTAACTAGCGGCTCACCCTTTCTTCGCTCGGGGTCGGCCTCTAGGAAGACAAAACAAATCTATTCCTCGGGAACCGTACATTTTTCCGGGATAAAAAGAAGCCTATGTGTTATTCCAGACTAGGTATAATCTATCTCTGTGCCAAATTTCATCCAGATCCGTTCAGCCGTTCTGGCGTGAAAGAGTAACAAACATCCATACTCACAAACTTTCACATTTATAATATTTATGCAGGTATATACGAGGATGGTAAATAATATAAAAAACAAGTTGAAATATATTTCTTAGTAGTCAGAGGTCCAGAAATATATAGTTGCTAAGCGGTTGTTCGACTAACAGTCCGTAAATAAATACAGTGTGCTGTGTGACTCACGGCCAATGTCGGTGCCACACAGGGGTTGAATGAGAGGAGCCGTCAGTTAAAAATTCTTTAAAACGACGCAAAAGATTTTCCTTATTTGTAACGCATAAATAAAATAATAATGTGATATAAAATAATTATTATATATATGAATTTATATTTTTTGTTTTTCATGTAATAAATAAATAATCACGAATGACCTCACCTAGCGTGTTATATACCTATAGGTAGTATAAAAGCTAGAAGTTCACCACATAAACAATTATATTTAAACGTAAAAACAAAGAAAAACATAAAGGAAAAAGATTTAAAATATTACAGTCTGTTTTAACATCCTGGATAATTCGCCCATTCATTTTATTATCCTGCATGACGTCAAGCGCCAGTAGATTCACTCCGTTGTCTCAGGATGCGTGTACAACTGGTTCTCAGAACGCTCTCACGTTTCCATGAAATATATCAGTTAAGCACCTGCTCTTATTTGGTCCTCCTCATTTAATTGTGAGCGTGTTGCGAATGCAGCCATCAATTATCATGACAGTTTATTTTTGTCTTCACTCGACTCGTATGTAAGTAATGACTTGAACAGCGCGGCTAAGCCTTCGTTTCATCGATCGTGCTTAATCTATGTCTGTATAATATTTTTCATCAAGTTAGGTATTGATTAAAATAATAAATTTAAATTATGTCATATTATACAAGGCCCATAAATTTATATGAACAAATTAACAAATATGCTGTATAATACCTTTTCTTTAATGATTTATATTTTTAACTTGATATATATATACACACATGAGACTCACCATCGCTCCACTCGGGTTTGACTCTAGTGAAAATTTAAGTTTGTTAGTAAAAAAAAATTTTGGGTGGACCACCATTATCACTTAGGGGTATGAAAAATAGTTTACGTCCTATTCTCAGACCTACTGAATATACACACAAAATTTCATAAGAATTGGTCAAGCCGTTTCGGAGTTTTGTTACAAACACTGTGACACGAGAATTTTATATATTAGATATAAGTATATAAAAAAAATTAAGATTCTAAATATGAGGTAAGAAGACGAAAGGGTAAAAAAATAGTTTCTGTATAATATATCTATTTAACCTACAATATTCGCATCCTGCGTGTACCTATTAGTGATAGTGTAATATTAATTTCAAGCAGCTTACCACGAATTATTTAAAACAAATGTAAAATATATAGCCTCACGAGTAGAACAAACAAGTTGTCCTTTTATTACAACTTACATACCTGTTATAGGTAATTTTAACATTGTCTCGTGACAGAAATAATTTCAATAATTATATTTAAGCGACACTAACTACAATTTTTTCTTAAAGTCTTGCAGTTTAACGTCAATGGCTCTACGACATGATTCTTTATTGTCAAACAAAGTTCTGTATGCTGAGTGCGTGGGTGTATACTGTACACACAAACTCGATTCCCTTTGTTAGTAGTATCGTGTAAGAGTGCAGCTTATGATCGGGCGATAATGAATTCAGAGGTCGTGCTATCACTCCAAGAGTGCTCTGACCTTGCTCCAGATCATCTGACCTTGTTCTCTCAAAGCTAACGAGCGACGCTTATCTCCTAGTTATATATATGTATATATTAATTTCAATGCTTGACCCACTGTGCTTAATAAGGTGGCATTCCCTAACATTACCACCGATGCCGAAAATGTTCCTAAACAACCATATGGAAATTGAACCAAGTTACGCTATTAAAGTTTTTAACGTAAGAAAATGTCTACTATTTATATTTCACAAAGATACGATACGAACTATTGACTTAAATGTTATTTCCTAGTTTTTGAATGTCATTGATCATTTTTACTGTTATTAGGTAATATATAAAAGAATTAACAGCATAAAAGTCATATATTAATTATAGCATTTATCTATACATATAATAAAATTGTAACTAAGCCGAATCTGTACATTAAATATTTTTTGGTAATTTTAATAAAATAGACTTTATTATCGATACAGAGGCCGAATCCTTAATTTATAGAATTTTTATCTGTCTGACTGTCTGTCTGTCTTTCTGTCTGTCTGTCTGTTACCGCATCACAGAAAAACCACTGGAGGGATTTTAATGAAATTTGGTATGGTGGTAGCTGGTTATCCGGGTCAACATATAGGATACTTTTTACCGCGGGGAAATGTCTCATTTCTGAGAAAAAATGCAAAAACTGCAATGTAAGAGTATACTAATATGTAAAACCTAAGAATTTTGTTTTTGGTCATCTGAACGCAGGCGGAACCGCGGGAAATGCTAGTTAGTCGAATAAAATTAAAAACTCCAAATACTAAATTCTTAACTGACATTCATTTTCCGCTGACATCATTACAAGGATCCAGATATTTATAACATTGCATTTTATTAAATAGCAAAAAAATCTAACGTTGAATAACTTTTAAGGTCACAGTGTAGTTACAGTCATCGCCGAAATCGCATCGTATTGTTTGGGAATAAAATTAATGCTATTAATCAAATCGTAATACGAAAAAAATATATAAGTACTTTTTTAATTTCGTGAAGTTCGCAGATTTTAAACGATGATATATGTACTTTAACATTTGCAATCCATAGACTTTAAGGTATGTATAAAAAATTACTTTTAAAGAAATTTTACAGATTTTTTTAAATAATAATATTTTTAAACATTGTATTGATAGCTATGTATTAAATAGTGATTACAATATATCAGTTTTTGAATACTTATTTATTTGATTAGCCGATATTATCTTCAATATCATATCGAGTCCTAAATTACCACTCTACTTTCATTTAGTGAATGAAAATAAAAAAATAGAGAAAAATAAAGAATAGATGAATTACATTAATACGGAAATACTTAAATTTATTTATAAAAACTCCATCTTGTTAAATACATACTTATTTAAGTGTAAGAATTACATAGATGTATAAATGAGGTTTTAGCATTAATGTTATGGACGTTTTTAAGACCAAAAATATATTTTATTTTGTACAAAAATTGCTGATGTTTATTGAAAATACTGAGAGGGAAGTGGCGTTAACACATAAGTTTGCTAAAGAAAGGTGTTTGTTTATGAAACGTGATCCCGCCCACACACTGCACATTTTCTTAGCTTTCTGCAAGCGTATCGCTCCCCACCCCCGAGCGTGGGGCGTGAAAGCACTGTGATCGTGTGCAGGCGCCGCTAAGTGTGTCACGCAGGTCGACGAACGCCGGCCTAGACCCACATATTGCAATTGGGGCATAATCAGCGACAGTACAGCGAGCGCGTTGACCCTGCGCGGTGAAATGCCCATCTTTCTCCTTTACACTCTTTCTCTCAACATCGCCGCTCAGTGACGGCTTTCCCATTGGAGTCCCCCGCGCTACGCCCATTACAAGATACTTAACATGGTATACTATTAGAATTGCGTCTTTATTTAATTATATTATTTTATTATATTATACTCTCTTATGTTTTTTGTTATTTTTTCGTATAATTTATATTTATGATATAAACAAACCTACCGACACTGTGTATTTATTTTCATATATAGGATTAAGACATGAGTAATATTTAAAAAAAATAGTTTTTTTTAATATTACTTTGCAATAACATGTTTAGATATCGTGTTAAGATTGTCATCATTGGTAATTTCTCTTGGGTGCTCTGGTTGCATGTGGCCATTCGAACTATTTAACGGAACTGACACATATGAAACTGCAGTCATTAATTCATCAAATAATACGAGATGATTTTTTTGCCGGTCCGTTATAGGTACTACCTATTGGTATTTAATGCAAATTGCATTTGATAAAATACATTCTCTCTAAAGTATGTAACGTTCGTGTAGAAACAACTCGAGTAGGTGCGAATTACATATATGTATGTATGTGCGTAAATAACGCGTAAAAGTAAAATGGATAATGTCTAATTTTCACTTTTAGGTGAACAGAATATGAAATGATTTTTTTAATTTTAGAATATAAGGAATAACACAGTTCCGATCAAAAAAATAATAATAAAACAATTCGAAGATTTTCTCTTGTTTAAGTAATTTTATAGTGTTTAACATAAATATTAGGATATTTCTCGAAGATATTATAGAACTTGTATCAGTTATTATGAAACATTATAATAAAGCAAAGACTAAAAGAATAGGTTATAGTTTAGTCTGTCTCTGCCTACCTATATAAGCAATATATACTAGCGACTCACCCTCGCTCCACTCGGGTTCGTCCCTAGTTATATTATAACGTTTAGAGATGATATTTTCCCGCAGTAAAAAGTATCCAATATATTGACTCGGATAACCAGCTATCATCATACGAAATTTCATCAAAATCTGTCCAGTGGTTCTCTCGTGATGCGGTCACAAACAGACAGACAAATTTATAAAAACTATAAATTCGGCCTCTGTATAACATATTAATTACAAAAACATATTTAATATATAGATTCGTCTCAGTGAGAATTTTTTATATGTATCTAATAGCTTAAAAGCGTACTAGACAGACACATTTTAAGGCCTTTAAACTAACTGCTTTTCTATTTTATTGACTAAAATAGTTCATCTTAGACAGTCAGGGGCAATTATGTATCTATTATTATAAGTCAATAGAAAAATTAACAATAATGCAAAAGTTAACAATTCAAAATTATTGTCAAGTCAGTCAAATTGTAATCAAGTGTATTATAATATATACAAAAATGAAAATCCATTGTTGTAATAACATAATGTAAAAATTATAAAAACTATTAATATAACATAGATATAATGAATAAGAGTGAACGGAAAAGAAAGTAAAAATGAGCGCAATGATATAAAAGAGACCTGAGAAACATGTGGTGCATCGAGAAAAGTGTGCAAGCGAGCGCCGCGATCTAACTCTTCTTAGAAGAAAAAGTGATTGCCATCCGACTGGAAACTTCGATTTTGGCGCGTATATTGTACTCCCATACTAGTGAATCGCGAGTCAGAGTACTTGTATTGCACATTTTTTTTCAATACTTCTTCACTTTCTTCCTATGTACACTTTCTAGGTTTCATTGTGAAATATATCTCCGCTTTCTAACGTAATGTTAGTGCAAGTTTTTCTTGCGTCTGCCATTTGCAATGAAAACGAGATGAGTCAGATGCACGATCATTAACATTTAATTTAGTCTATATCTTCATACTTACGAGCAACTGAAGTACAAATATAATTAGAGCTAAACGTCAAGACATTTAAGGAAGATGTATGATATTGCGGATATGTAAAACGAACAAAATAAACCGCCTCTACCGTGTGTCTATTCGCTTTGTAACCTTCCTATTTAGGTCACCATCTATATGAAGGCTTGCTCTGGAAATCTGCATAGACGGATGTCGGTGCTATTAGATATTGTAAGTTTCTCTATCGGAGAAACTTTCGGTCTGAGCTAAGTGGGTCAGCTGCGGGTCCGGCGAATCGTAGTCGTGCACTCATAGAAATGGGCTCGCGACAATAAACCATTAAACGTGTCTAAAAATAAGTAGCACATCGCAGAGAGTCGCGGGAGCGGGATTGTCGCTGATTGTTAGTTGTACACTATGCAAATAGGTAGTAACTTTCTTCCGTCCCGCTGGTGGCAGCCACGCGGTCGTTGTATCGATTTCACCCGCGCATTACAATCATATACCAAAACTGGCTTATAATACTACATATTTGTATCAAAGAGCATTGTTTTAATATATTTTTACTATGACGTGGTTAGTAGCTAAGATATATAATATTATTGATAATTTATAGCTTTATAATATTACTGAAGGAGGTGAATTGAGGAGGAAGAAAATGTTCATATCACTTAAATGCTTTTAACAATTTCAACTGACAGAACGGGTGCTTATCGGGCTAAATCCGGTTGGAAATATTGCAAAATGTTGTCGCTCTATACTTTATGCACTAAGATTGAAGCAATAAAATGCAATGTAGATGACCAACTGGTTGTTGTACGTAGTTAAGTTTTGGAGGTAGTCGAATCACGAGACCACGACCCGCGCAATACGACTCGGCGCGGGCGCACGCGGGCACTGCTGCGCTAACCTACTTGGCGTGCGTTGATCTCTTTGTTTGTAAACATGGCGTCGTTGTCGCTACCGCCGCCTTCTACAGCTTTAACCATACCAAACTTGCCTTAGTTTCTAAAATGTATTTAATGTAGTTTCTTTAGGTGAAGTACATTTTACAACAACACACAATTGTTTTTTTACTGACAATATTTATATATATTTTAGTCCTAAGGTTTAATTAATTGTATATTATTTCAATTACATTTAATGTTAATAATAACTCATATATGTACAAGTTTATCCCACAAAATCTTACACAATAAGTTAGTAGTAAGTAAACCTTGTAAATTATAAAATTTAAGATGGTTAAATAAAATAACGTTAAATAAGCGTTTTAATTTACAGTGCTGTTACTTAATTTCATGCATTTTTTTTAATGTTGGGACATTAACACACAGCACCATCTAGTTCCATGGTAAGCTACGAGACTTGTGTTATGGATACCAGGCAGTTGATATACTATACATATATAACTGTAAATACATACATATAATAAATTTAAACACCCATGACTGAAGTAGAAACAATAGTGCTCATCACACAAATGAATGCCCCCAGCGGGACTCGAACCCGCGACCGCTGGCACAGCAAGTAGGGACACTACAAACTGAGCCAAACGTGTCGGCATTATCATAGTCTTATCACTCTATCCGCGTAAAATGAATTTATCATAAAGTTCCTAAATACCTACTGTAGTGGAATAATTACATCCCTATATTCTGGTTCTTGTTAAATAAAACAAAACGAATTGTACCGTTAACCTTGATATGTGACAAGGCTTTGTTAGTGCTCAGACCACGGTTTGTTTGGTTTTAAAGATATTTTTAAAATGTCATGAGTGTCAATAAAGCAATGTTGCATTATATTTTTCCAAGTAGGTACATCGAGAAAAAATCATGTTTTAACTACTGCAAATTAAACTACATTTTTAATTATAAAAACTTAAAGTAAAAGTTTACATCTATACCTACATATAATAAAATTGTAACTATGCCGAATCTGTACATTAAATATTTTTTGGAAAATCTCATTGAAATAGACATTATTATCGATACTGAGGCCAAATCTATAGTTTTTAAAATTTTTGTCTGTCTGTCTGTCTGTTACCGCATCACAGTCAAAACATTGGAGGAATTTTGATGAAATTTGGTATGGTGATAGCTGGTTATCCGGGTCAACATATAGGATACTTTTTACCGTGCGAAAATATCTCATTTCTGAGAAAAAATACAAAAACTGCAATGTAAGAGTATACCAATATGTAAAACCTAAGAATTTGGTTTTTGGTCATCTGAACGCGGGCGGACCCGCGGGCAAAGTTAGTTGATTAAAATGTTATTAGTAACGCAAAGTCGTTGTCTAACTGGCACTGCCTATAGTTGACAATCATTCATAGTTTCGATCAACGTAAATTGCTGTAGTAAGAGAATTCATTTATGGGTGTATATTATTTTCTTTAAAAAGAAAGTTGTTGGAGATCTTTGGTGAAACATAGAATCATTTATCTGATATGTAATACAGTAAAAAATATACTACAAACTTTTCTACTATCTCTTGAAATCCAGACAAAATTTCAACTGTCAAGCTGTTTCTAAGTTAACTTGTGAGATATTTAAAAAAATTAACAAAGATTTTTTTCTTAAAAAACTTAAACGATGTCAAAGCTTTACAATATTTTTTTTTTATAAAATAACACACATTTATAAGCTTGTTCGTTAAATCAGATATAGATTTTAGGAAGTTAAAAAGTTCTTAACTATCCTTTACAAAGTATTATATAAAGTCCTTTGAGGCGTCACAACACTTCGTGCGTATATAAGTCGTCCACGAGGTTTGACCTCAATACTTGACTATTTATCCTCACGACGAAGCTGATATAACTTGTTAGATATTCAATAGACGTTTACAGGTAAATTATGTACCATACTATGTTTGATATAGAAGGCGTAGATACTCCATCATAGTATTGATGCTGTTGGAATCATAAGTTACCATACATCGCTTCAACAATATTCTATAACAAAGTACGATCTTAAGTCGATACTTCTAAAACATAGATAATACACAAAAGATATCTAGACCATGACAAATAATAATAATTGAATGGAATTAAATAATACGAACATAATAATATTATGTCGAGGGCGGAGATCGACCCCACAACCTTCGATGCTCGAGTCATTTCGATGACCGCTATCAGTCGAGAGGTTTCTTGGGTAGATTTTGTTAACTAACTATGCGCTTCAGATAAAAAGATATTTCGACCACACCTTTTGAAAGCGTCACGCTAATGTGATTATGCCG